AATTCGGCAGAAATTTGTTGCTCATCAACTCATTAGCGACGTATGTATGTACCCGACGTGTAAAATTTGTACACAAAAAGTACGTATTTTTCTCCAAGTATTTTGAGCACTTGACCTGAAAATTTGATGATGGGGTTTCCCATAATGAAAATGAGCGTGGTGATTAAGCATGTTTTAAACGATGTAGTGAAGATTTTGAACGAGCGTTTAAAAGAAGAAGAAGAAGCAGATGGTATTCAAGCAGAACGCATTGTTTGCCGCATTTTGGTTTCGGTTTTCATTTGAAGAGAACAATAAGGGTTGGATTGGATGTTGATGTGTTCTGACAGGGTGGAGGGAGGTACTTGATGATGAATATATGCATATGCCCAGGTCCAAAATAGTAAGGTCATTGGAGGGCATATGAAAATTGTTCAAGAAATTAGAAAGTCTTCGTCTTCTTTTGGAGCCCTGTACATCCATCCATCCATCGTCCCTTCAACCCTTTGCTTAAGTGTCCGAACAGAAGAAGACGAAGAAGAAAAAACGAAATCACTAAACCAATCACGTCTCATGACCAAAAGTCCACGGACTTCCGTAAATAAACTGCCTCCATTAAGATCAGGACCAAACGAAATATGTACGTCCAGTCCATCTGCTTTCGTCCAAATGCATTTGACCATTAAGCAGAAATGAATTAGTTTGAAGGGCTACTACTTCTTGGTGGTGCGAATTTATGGATTTATGACCCTTCTAAATAAAAGTACGGAGACGTGCCTGCTTGACGTGAAAGTCGTTGTGAAGTCGCTTTTAAAAAAATTCCTGTCTCGGAATTCAAAAAGATAATTCACACGTCCCGTCGTCCAAATGACGACACCACATTTCATCCCAACTCTCAGGTAGATAGTCTGCTAAAATTGTGCATTACAGTCAAACAAATGGTGCAGGCGGGTAGGTTAGTTAAAGAGGTGAAATGACACCCATTAGTCTTATTATCATGTTGATGGGTAGTATTCATGTGCGTATGTCTGTATGCGAGTAGGTAGTAAATAAATAAGTAAGTGAGTAAGTGGTGGAAGTTGTGACTTAACGGTTAACCCTGGGCGAAGTAGGTAGTGCGGAGTGGGACCCTGAAATGAAATCGAAAGAGGAGAATAAAACGAGATGATTTACAGATAAAGCAGCAGGACAAACGAAACCAGGGTTGTAAACAATTACAAAAATCAGCTCGTAGAAAACTAACGGAATTTCTGCCGTCACGCATCCACACATCTCCTCCACACCTAACATTACAAGCCGTTGACCTTCTGTGGAAATCGAAATGTAAAGTTAAGCCAATTCACCAACCATGCAGGCAACAATAATGCTGCACGGCTGCCTATATCTACCTGTCATTTCGTACCATTCCTCCACCGCCACCACCTGAGCAACCCTTTCCAGCAGGTAGAGAATCGTCAGATTTTGCATAAAGGAACAAACCAACCCTTCCATTCCCATTCTTGTAGCTATGCATGAAGGATAATATTATTGTGATGTAGTCAATTGCATGAAGTACGTATTACGTTGTTGGACTTCGTCTCTGCTCAAAAAGTTTGCATATTATAATACATAATGCGGATTGGCATACAAAGCATAGGTGGTGAATTGGAAGAGGAAGATGATGTGATGCGCTCATTGTCGGTGTGCTATTTAATCCTCTTCTTGTCGTAATAGGTTTCAGCCATGCACGTTTGTATCTTACGTTTGTCTTATGTATCTTACGTTTGCGATTTCAAAGGAATTCGTAGATGCAAAGAGGAGACAATTCTTCTCGAATTCACCACCACTGACCAGACTCCAACTTGCGTATTGTATTGTTATGCCTGCCGGTTATTTGCAGTTCCACTTAGAATATACTTCCACGACTCGCGTACTGCTAGGGTTGGTGGGTGTAAAATAGTCATGTGATAAATACAACATGCAAAAACAAAACACACGGACAAAGGGACTATTTAATAGGAAAAGCCAAACAGATTTTTATTGTCTGTTTTTTTCTTCTTCATTTAATGCCATGTCATCAATATCAAAATTTGAGAATGACAGAGTTCAGAAACTCTGACGAACGAAAACATGTTGATCATTTTAAAGATATTGCAAAATCTATCCGTTTTAATACTGCATTACTCTCGTTCATTTCATGGTAGTTTACGAATAATTGGATAATTCTGATAAATGTTATTGACAAAAAACATATTTGGGGAGTTTGAGATATTCCATGTGTATAATTTTCTCCTTCGTCCCAGTCACTCGGACGGAGCTGCCTCTCTCTTGACCTGCACAAATTACACCGGGTCACAAATCACGCAACGATTTGCCAAGCCTATGCCATGTTTTCGCAATAGAATCAAGATTTTATCCCCTTTTGCCTAATCATCGAAAGAACAACAACACGTCAAGTTCAAGAAGCACGTAGCAAAATTCGCAAAATTCATCGAGTCTGGTTTTTGAAGTCGAATCATTATGAGCATTATGTTGCGTACACGTATGTGTTCACGTCCTAGCGAGTGAACATACATAATAATACCCGAGCATTGTGGTTCTTTGAGTGGGCATTGTTGCAACGTAATGAGATCAAGATTTGCAAGATTGAAACCAAGATGAGTTGATGATGGTTGGTTGGTTGGTTTGTGATGATGATCTCGACGATGAGATGAGACGAGATGATGATGATCATCATCATCATAATGCTTCTCTCTTCTTATGATGAGAACCTGCTTCTTCTCCTATTCGAACCAGAATGCTAACAGGTATGTATGTATCTACATCTGGTAATGTCTTTGTGAGCAAAGAAGTAGTGCTGGCTGGTTGGCTGTTAAGAGAACGAAACTGAAATTTCCAACTGTTTCTTTTTTTCCTTTCTCAGACTCATTTTCAACGCCAACTGTAAACTAGCGAATCTGTTCGACTTCGATTGTTCGAGTTATTTTCAACGAAATGAAAATGCTTCCGGTTCCCCGTTCTCCTTTTTCTTGCCACAACAATTTTTATTTTAGATTCGGTGAAAACCACCACCGACATACACACTTATTATTATGAAATGAACAATAGTGTAGATGATGAAAACATGCCTTTGCAATTACAAACCCTGATTGATGCATAGTACATAAAATTTTGATTATGTGTAGAAAAAGTACGTATTATAAAACGACATTAAGTAATCAACTGTGACGCATGCATTTCTTCTTCTTCTTTTCGTTGTCGCCTCTGATTACGATTTGTGAAAATTGTAGAGCATATTTATTTGCATCGTGATGATGATGCCGAGGAGAATATGGTGATGGTGAAAAAGGTAACAACAACATGCCATCAATTCTTCTATATGTTTGTAATTACGAAAAAGAAGCCAGCAGCACAGATTCGCTATTCACCTGGGTATGCAAATCAGGGAAACATGTTCTGGTGGTTACTTGGTCCACTACTCCGTGCATACAACAGCTTATGAATTGCAATTAGCCCGGAAGACCTACATTACGGCAAACAATAACATAACATGTGCACACTGTTTAGAATGTATTACGCGACTTGCACCCCAGTTCAGATAATTTTCGGAGAATACATTCAGGACGACAATACTCGCTTAATATGTAACCCAAAGTTTGACAGATATATGTAGCACAATTGTCAAGTTAGGGTTGGTGGATCTCATACATACACTGAACTGTATGCATTTGTCCTTTCGGGTACAAAAGACTGGTGCAGGTTTCGAACAGCACGTTACCAAACGTGAAATTTATCATCGGAGGAACAGAATATACAGTGATCTCGTTATTTAATTTGTCTATTTTGCATTACATATTCATCAATGTCATGTCCCTCACCTAGCCAGCCGACGGTGTCGTATTGCTTATTTCATCTGAATGACACAAGATTACACAACAGCCCTGCCAAAGGCAACCTGTTCCACCAACCATCACATTTTAATACGTGTGTGGTATCAACCTTATGAAATTCAATTTGTTATCACAACCCAGAATTTGAATCATGACCCTGGCTTGATTTTATTCTGATGGAGGTGAGATTACAAGAAAACCATATTCAAACCCGCATGGATTTTCGAAAGTAAGTAAGAAGTGAGTAATGTAATTCAGATTTTGTATCTGTCGCGGATGGAGAGAAACATTAAAAGGAGAGCCATGTTGTTTCAAGGAGTTACGGTAAAAGAGGTTCAGGAAGGCTTTTTAATAGCAACGTTTTTTTCTCTACTTCTCAGCAGCAGTCGTTATTATGAAAACCCTTTTTATGGGAAAAGGTATGTATAAGGGGAAAGTGAATGAATAGGATGTTATGCATGCATTGATTCGTGTGGGGGTTGCCTGGCTGTTCCTCCTCCTTTTTCTGCTTCCGTGGTGGTTGGGACAATAGGATTCATATCAGCGTCATAGGATCAACACCACTGAAGAGATAGCGGAAGTCAGTGTCCTCTTCTTTTCCCATTTCCTTGGGATAGTCCACCTGTGCACTTGCTTTAAAAAATAGGATTTCTGTTTCTCCACTGCGTAGATATTTACGGGGCTGCGACTCAGGGCGCTTTTGAAACATTGTTGGCGAGGGAGCGTGCATTTCTTCATCTCGAACTTGCTACTACTCGTGGGTATAATACATAATAGTTGTTGTTGGTGGTGGTGGCTGGTGGGTAGTGGGCATTGTTGGCAGGTAGTAAAAAGGCGTCGTGGCAAGTATTTGGAAAGGAAACGGGTCTCATCCATGCAATAATAATACAACGCGTTTAGTTAGATCACCGTGAGGGATGAAGAACGGGGTGAGTTGTTTGGTGGTCATGCTTTAAAATGGGATGTACAGTAAGATAGCTCTCTCTCGATAAATAGTTAAGTAGACAACACAACAGGGTATTTCGTTGTCTGGTTTTCTGGATGTATGTTGCTGTAGCAGTTACTTGTGGTGGTTTAATAATCTGATGCTACATATATTCCTATGCTGTTTTGAGGGGTTGGACTAACTGTTAGCCTTGGCCATGAATTCCTACCTGTTCAGTTTATCCTTGGCAGTGGAGCCCATAACACTCTCATCATCAGCATAAGCTATCCATCTACACACGTACCACATTCACTCTCTTGGATAACCGTACTTGCTGCGAAAAAGTACCACCACTCGTTTAGTTGCAATTGGACAGCGTCGAGTGGTGACGGTGTCCATTCCTCTCCTTTTGAGGTCGACAATCATATCCAGCCAGAGATTTAAGGGGTCTTTTCCTTCAATCATTTACACTCTCCAGAAAAATAAACCAGTACGGACTTACGTCTCCAGAGGTGAGGTGGTTGAGGGCCACACCAAAAAATCTACCATTCTTGATATCACGTCAAGTGAGAAGCAATCGGATTACACAACACAATCAGAAAAAAAAACCAAGCCGTGGTGCTCACCAGTGACAATCGTTTTATCCCATTTGGTAACCACATGAATGAATCATAACCCTATGAGATTGGTGTTTTCGTCCAGAAACATGAAATTTAGACCCGTCATCATTCCGGGAAAGTGAGATTATTGCATGGTGGAATTTATAGGAAAAAAATAGTGAAAAAGTGAGACAATCTCAGGAGATGCCTGAGCGTGAGACGAAAATACTATTGAAAGGACAACCCTAGTTAAAGAAACGGCTATACGATGCCTAAGATATTTTTGATTAAAAATCGCCTCCTCCAACAGCAACAAAGGCTGTTGGAGACTTCGAAGCAGGCTTCACCCTCCTCCGAGGGGGGTTTGGATAGGGATGACGATGGGGAGAAGGACTCGCCCCCTTGTCATGTCACCCCCAGGTCACTCTTTGGCCGATTTCTCGCCAACAGGTCAGCCTCCCCTTCTCCGGTGGGAGACTGTGGCGCCAGTGATCACGACGATAACGATTCGGATGAACCACTCTCTCTCGTCGTTCACAAAGGTAAATACAAATGAACTAATATGCATACATTATCCGAAAAATCCCGGCTCGCTTTCACCATATTGTGTTTTTGACCACTTGTTGCTCCTTTGATACTTGTTGAGATTGAGACGTTTCATAAGTAAGATTCGCTCATAACCGGTGTCAGACGTTCCTTATTTGAAAGTAAAATTATTTAATATTACTCCATTTAACGGTAGTAGTGTTAGGTAAGGATAGAAGGAACGTGTTATTTTAAGTAGTTTAGCTCCTAGCTTACAATTTGTGTAAGAGAAAGCGACCAACCTTGGATTTGTAGGGGCAGCTAGGTTTCATTAGACAGATCAAGAAGAAGAACAAGAAGCAGATGTAAATCCCGTGAGCAAAGAGGTTTCTTCAAGGACGGGTGACATAATATCAAGTTGGGTAAATCTTTCCAAAAATAGGACATGTTTTTAGCTTACTTCTTTCCAAGTAGAGTTGAGATTTCAGGGAAATACATACATATTTTGTGAGGGAATCGTTACATTAATTTTTGTCAAGCTTGGTAGTTTCTCTTAATGACTGGGTACGTCCAGCTAATTTATAATATTTAATGATATCATGGTTGGTTTAGTGGTCTGGTAGCGTGTCATGAGACCATCCATCCTCCAGCACAAATTTCTTAAGGTTGTTGTCTCGTATTTTTTTCTTATTTTTCTCCTTCTTCGAGAATTCAAGTTGTTGTTGTACGGTTGCTGGCGTGGAATCCATGTTGTCTTTAACAAGCAAATTCATTTAGAGCTTCTTCACAGGTTTAAGTGTGGGAACCGCACATTTTTTGCCAACTTGTATGCAAAGGGTAATTTAATTACCAAGGTTAAAGTTTCAGTGAGGGTAGTGTTATTCAATCCCATGGAAAGAATAGAGGTAGGGTGATACATATGTACGTGTAGACATTGTGTAATGATGTGTGGTAAGGTGACTAGCGAAAATATTTGGAATATATCGCGAAACTGAGTTGCATAAATTGAGAGTTTTAGAGACAGGATGAAGTAATCTATACGTATATCCGCTTCTAATAACGGTGAGTTGCTAATAAAATCTTTAATACAACTGCATTCTAACAATGGGCAGGATTCGTTTGCACCGGAAAGGGATTTGTCATAATCACAATTTACCATCCGTGTGTGATGATGATAAGTTGCAGCTAAATACGTACCCATAAACGTAAAAAGACGCATGCATAATGGTGTAAAAATGATATTATGATGATAACTTATTTCTCCGGCATATCAAGTATTTGGACAATATAATCTTTCCATTTAGAGTGGATGAATGAATGAATGAGCGAAGGAGTGGTGGTCCTTCGTCTTGTTTTGTTCTTCTTCTCCAGAAGATGTATTTTTGTCTCAAGTTACGTTTTTTAAGATGCATCACAATGGATCAAAAACTGCACCTTTTCAGTCGGTGTGTAAAGCATGAAAATGTATTTTTAAGAATCCCATCATCATCTTTTTACCTGCTGAATGTGCAGCTATACATCTTATTTTTGGTTCACATCGTGTAAGAAGATGAACGGTTCCCACTCTTTCTGCAGGTATCTCTATAGTCCGTTCAGTGCGGTTGGTTAATTGAACTGGTGCTGGACGGGAAATGAATATTTACAAAATAAACAAGCCAACCAAAGTGTGGGAATTGCCATCAAGATCATGTTATGCATCTTTGTGTAACCGGATCGCATCTTGCAGGGTCCAGAGAGAGGATATTTCAGGAGAAGTCTACCTGAATCTGAAACTTGAGACTTTCCAAAGGTTTTCATCTCTCCCACCTTTTCTTCCGTCCTAATAGCTTTGACGAAATTCTTAATGACGGGCCTCTCAAAACTGCAATGAAAATGGATTCAGATTTTTATTCCGCCAGGAAGCCTTTTTCGAATGAACAAGTATTTTTTCTCCTACAGAAATATTCAACACAAGTGCATTGAAGAACAACCTGATTCATTTTTAATCTATCCAAATCCCTTCAGCCGAGGTGGTGGTGGTGGTGCGATAAGAGCGATAAATAAGCAAGAAAGAAAACTGAATCAATAATAAATCCGTTCTCATTCTCATTTTCCGCAAGGAAGGAAGGCCGAGAGATTTCATCCATTATTAAACGCATTAAATGTCGCCCACTTTTTTACTTGTTGAGCAGGAGACAAGATTAGGAATGAATATAAATAAAAGAAAAGACATTGAATAAACGGATATTTATTCATTCCTTATTCAACTTATTCCGTTCTTTGGTTTAGTTTTTTCTCCATTACTTTTACTCCTCCACGTCCACCATCACCACCACTTTTCATTTATTATTATGTGCCGTGTTCCGCTAGGTAGAAAATATGCAACCCTTCTTGCAAGACGGAGTGGATTGTTATACGGCTCGAGATTTTTTTTCCTCTCTCCACCACTTCTTCTTCTCCCGTGCATTTGAGATTTATCTACTTACCTGTTGTGCAGCCCTGCTTTGCTGTCTGTGTCGTTTTTATTAGGGGTACGGACGGCGTTAGGTGTTATGTGCCATTCCGTGGAATGAACAAGTCAGTCAGCATGACATCCAGCACTTGGCAAGTTGTTGGACCGACTGACTAAATATAGTTGAGGGGAGAAAGAGCTTCTCTCTCAAGACGAAGAATGAGATAGATATGGATGGATGAGAAAAAATTCATAATCTGCATTCAAGGCCAGGTTTGTTGAGTTTAGAGCGAGTGGGGCTGGCCGTACACAGAGTCATCATCATCATCATGACTCCAATAAGCTCTCTGGAGACTCACCTGTTGATTGGACATATATAAAACAGGTTTGCATTTTGCAACAAACACGTAGGGATACGAATACGAACGAATGTGAGCAGTAGACCAGGCTTGATGTGGCCACACTTCTTCTTCTCAAGTTAACGGTCATGGGTACCCGGTTCAACGGAGCAGCCTCCGGGCAAAATTCTTCTCGCGTTGACTTGACTTGGTTGAAAAATGTTCAAAAACTCGTATATCGTGTCGTCGCAGTCGGCTTGCAACATTATTCAATCTCCTTCTTCGTCTCTGCTCAATCTCTCGAATATCTTATCCATTCCAAGCCTAGTTCCATAATGGAAAATAAAAGTGGTAGGTATATGTATGCACGTAGAGAGAAATTGTGTCTGCTTTTACCCGTCTTTTTATAACAATCAAACCGCACTTGGCATTGTGGTTGATATCATCCATCCATTCTTTCTTGCATGTTCCTCCTCCTGGGGTTTCTCTTCTTCTTCTTCATCCGTTCCACCTTCTTCTCATTAAAACAACTGGCTCTCATCAGCAGCAGCATCTTCATCTTTATCGAGTTGAACTTGAACACAAGGCAACTTGTTTCCTTCGGCAATAATGGCGACACAATCATCCCTCTGCATCGGGAAGAATATTGTCTGTATGGCTTATAACGTGCTTACTGTACTGGAGCGATTAAAGATGCTCTGCGGCACGGAAGAGGTAGCAGCAGACGAAGAGTTGTTTCTCTCTCGAAGGGAGGAAAAAAATTAGAAAATTGAGATAAAATTATGAAGAAAGCGAGCGTTCAAGAAAAGAGTTGGGAGCAGTTTGTTGCTGGATGATCATAAAACAGAAGATGAAGAAGAAGGAGGTGAAAAAGGGGAGAAGGAAGAGAGCAGATGTTCAAAAGTGAGTTTAATTGATGGAGATCGAGAATCTAAGGATTGCCCTTCCAGGGATTATCTCCTATTTTTCAAGCCCATTGTTACCACCACCACGACGACCAAACCAGAGATGCTGGAAGGAGTTGTAGTTGTAGGAAGGAGAGAAAGAAGGACGACAAGATGAGACGAGAAGGCTCACTGTGCATGCAACTGGTGTATCTCATACACGATTATAGGAGATGCGTAACGTATCATTACGGACGTGTGGAAGAATGCAGACATTCAAAACTGGACAAAATGCACCAAGTAAATTGAGATAGCGGTCAAAACGGGCATTGTGACCTTGGCCGCCAAGTTTTTTGAAGAAAAAAAAACTCGTTTGCATAATTTTATAGCCCAGCAATTGGTTTTGGTACGAGTCCAACTAACATACCGGGTTCGAGAAGATCACCTTTTTCCAGCAGATTGGACATATTACACAATGTTGCATGTAACAAATGTAATCATCCTTTTTGTTCATTTTTTCCAAGACAAGTATAAAATCAGCAAGCGGCGGCGCAACCAGAATTTTGTTTGTTATGCATGTACATACATAAGTACACCTACTGCAATCTTTGCTGTGAGCCGTAACTGTCATCCATTAAAACTATTCATCATCAAAGTCTGCCTGTCGTCTGTGGAGAGCAATTCTATGTATCCATTCATTCAGCATCACCATTTCTTCTCTTCGTTATGCAGTATTATTGACACAACAAATGAAATTAATGACAAAACTAATCAAGACTGATGCTGGTTGGCTACCTGGTACTCGGTCTGCCTACTTACTGCATAAATAATACATTAATACATAATTCGTTCGTATGAAGGAGGAGAAGTCGTCCAGCTTTATAAATCGTAATTAAACTGCACTCAAACATGGCGAGACAACGACGACGCAGACTTTTAAGCGCATATTATTTATTTATTATGACCGCTCTTCTTCTCGTCGAGTCGAATGAAACAAAATGCTTGTGCACTTTACCAGGAGATTATGAAAGCAATCAGTATTGGTCAATTTTCTTTTGAAGAAGAAGAACCAGTCGACTGATAAAATGGATTCATCCAGCCAGTCAATAATTCGCCCATCATTCCATTAGAATGGTGCAAAAATGTTTCGAGGGGAGCCATTGGCCATACATTTCTTCAGGGTGACTATTGGCTGCTCTAAATGGAATCGTGTAAAAAACGGTTGTATTATGTATGGGCCTTCTATAATAATAAATTTATAAAAATGGGATAAGAAATAATTGTCTGTATGCACCTTCCATCGGGTGGACCCTTAATCCACCAAGGTGGATTTAAAATCGTGCATGTAGTGCGTTTCTAGTCGTAAATCAGCTTATTTCTTAAAAAAACGGGAGTTGTAATTATCCTCCGTTGAAACTCATTTCATGCTCCTTGCGACTTCCAGGAAAGCTGGTTTTCAATATTTGAAAAGGCAAAAAAAGTGGATATATTTATCCAAGCGAGTATTTTACCCGTTTAGATATTGGATTTATTTGGGTAAGGGCTTCCCACCTTGTCTTCCTTTTTATTTTTTATTGTAAGGGCTACTTCAACTGGATTGGGAAATAGAAATCGAAAAATATTGGGTCAAGTGACGGCTTTATTGATGCAATGTTTCACTTCTTTAAAAAATAAGTTTAATTGCTGGGCTGACTTTTTGAATCTGTGTTGTCCAAGCTAAAAAATGACATTGCAAAATGCATGGCCAACAGCTATTGTTACGTCATGGTTTTGCTTTTAAGTTGAAGTTGAAGTATAAGGTTTTGAACCATTATTCTTAGTCTTGATTGGTCAGACGTCATAAATGATTGTTACTGTGAACCCATTTTTATATGCACAAGCTGTCCAACTTTTTCGTACGTGGACGGACTTTCGACTTTTATTACAGTAAGAGAAATGATCCTTCCAACAAAATTTCTATGAACCGAACTGTCAAACGGACAAAGGGGAAGAAAGGGATTCCTACGAAACTGACTGCTGCTCAAAAGACTCACTGATTTTAAAAAGGTCAGCATTTCATTATTGGACGATATGTAACTGTCGTATATTTTTAGTCTTCTTGGTAAACCTTTATCTGAAGCACCTCGTCAGGCTGCTGCTGCTTCCTTCCAGAATAAACCGGAAGCCATATGACGACAACGAGGTTGCTTAAGCCCTTGAATGCACTAAACAGCAGCATTAACTTTTGATGCATTTAGACCAACGACCTAACGAACCAAACCATTATTTCCATGCGTATGGATGGATTTATTCTATTTCCTCATTCTTTTCCCACCTCAAGACGAAGAAGAACAACCCCTTCTTGTTGTTGTAGTGGGAATTCTACATAATTTGGAACTGTGACATGAACCATTTCATAATGGGCATTGACCTTAGACTGAGCTATATTTAAATCACGAAGCTCATGCGCTTCGGGAAACAATGGTTTGTTCAAGAAAAGTACCCCAGTTGCATTATTGTCCACGACCTGGTGGAGTTTTTGAAGCTTTTCAGTCCCACATCCACATGTTGGTCACGTGAAAAAGGGTTCTGTTTCCGTCTCTGAGGTACTGACACGATGATACATTAGGTACAAATCCATTGGGCGTACGTACGTATTCGTTTCGAGAAAAAACAACAAAATTCTAGGATTAAATTTAGTGTAGTGGTTCAAAAGGCAAAGTTATTTGGTTGGCTGGTTGGTGGTTGATAACATTGTGTGGCTTGCATGTTTCAGAATAACGGTGATTTTAACTCCTGCAAATATACACATGGTATTGGTCGAAATATCCTATTTGACATGCTAGAATATTATGGAAATGACATGTGAACGGAAGGTATTTTAGGTTTAAATACTTTTATCTCCAGATAATACAAACTCTTCTTGTATCCGGTATTCGTCAATTTCCAAGCAAACATTTTTTTTCTATTGACTGTGGTTTTTTTCCTTTATCAGCTAAAACTTCATTAAAATTAATATTTTTTGGGGATGCTGATGTTGATGGGTGTCACATCGCTGAATATGTAAATGGGAGTAAGGAGTGAATACATACAGAGTTTACACAAGTCTTATGTATGTATGTATGCATTCATGTACCTGCTTTATCTATGCTGTCATGTTTTAGCGTACGTATGAAAAAGTGTGAATCAACGCTATGCAAAAAAACTACTGCAAATTTAATTAAATCTTGTACTCACTCGCACTGACACTGCAAGTAACTACTTCGGGTATGATTTTACTGGTTGAGCAGTTTGGTTGGGCTGGAAAGGAAAAATAATAATATGGACACCATAACGAATTGAGCATTATGTGACTCGACTCATTCATCATGGGTTGAAGGAGATTAGTAGACGAGTTAAATTCACGCCAAATTCGGGATTTTTTTGCGAGAAAAATGGCATTACAGTAGTTCAATTGTTCAATTCTGGACGAGTCAGCGAGCAGTAAAACATACATGACGATGATGAATAAGTGCAAGCATAAGCAGCTAGACGATTGCTGCACAATTAGTTGACCTTGATTTGTTTTTTAAATGACAAAAGTCTACGACATATGAAAGAAAGGATTGGATTTATGTGTCATGCTTCATCCCGCATCCATCCACTTGATTGAATCAAATCTCTTCAAACTGCACGTTCCATGTGGAAAAATATGTATAGCTCCATCCACCACAATAACAACCAGCATCTCGTAATCAACAACTAACTTTGCCGTCTGACTGAATGGGGTAATAAAATTGGGAAGAAAGAAAGGTGTGTAAAATAAAACGTTTTTTAAAAAATGTGCTCTTGGCCAGAGTGTAAGAATAGCTTGGGTGGGATAGGATACGAGATACTAATAAAGCTCTAAACCAATAAAGTGAAGCAGTACGAGGAGCAGCAGCATCAAACGAGAATGAAAATAATACATAATTTATGACTAAAAAGTTTTTGCGATGCAGAATAGAGCGAGTTGATGGAGTACCTGTAACCAGATAATGATGTAACAGAACGGCAAAAAAAAAACGCTGGCTCATACCAATTGTCGTTGAGTGTGCTGAAGGAGGACACAAGGAATACGTGTGTATCTGACTGACTGCAGTGCAATTGTTGAAAGAGCAGACTGTTAGATAAGCAAAATTAGCAAACAGTGAAGCTGTTAATGTTATTATGGAAGCAGCCAGCGTGGAGTTGGATACATATTAGTATTTAGTCGTGGTGGTTGGTTGAAGGAGGATCCCATGCCAGATTAAAAGTCATGATCAAGGGTAGTTGGCGATGATGGCCAAACTGCTTTTTTTTAGCAAACGTAGGTAGCTAGGTAGGTAGGTGGGTGGGTGGTGATGCTAATAGAAGTGGGGGTGATGCCTACAGCACCATATTCTTGAGAGCATGGATTACATTCCATCCAACAATCGAGAGGGACAACATGCATACCAGAGAAGAGAGGAGAGCAGTGATGTGAATGGGTGGCACCGCGTCTCCTCCGGTTTTGATTTGCACTGCATCCCTTCCCGTTGTACTGCAGTTTCACTTTAGTTTACCAGTATCACTCATTGTGGCGAAATCTCCGCCAATCCACCGTCCTGGCTCTGCCTCCTCCATAGCCACATAGATATTTGCAATACCTGTTCCCTCGTAGTAATGGAGTTAAGAATCAGGGGAACGAGTCCGTGTGCGAGTGTGGGGTGGATTATTTTCCTTACAATGACTGGCTGGACCTATAACTAACCACAGCCTCGTCGTCGATGCCACCACTTTCTTAAAGCTACAACGTAGTTCCAATCGTTCGTTCACCTTTGTTGCCTTCTTCTCCTCGTAGCGTCGTCGCCGTCGTCGTCGTCGTCGTCGATGGGAATCCTGCTCCTCGGTCGTTTTATGGTGTGGTATGATGATGATCTGATTATGGGGCACTTTCATCTTATTGTCTGACTTGACTTGTATGTATGACCAATGCGAAATCAAATGGAATTGCTGTCAGTTTAATTGTCTGACTGAGAATTTCCTTGCTCAATGCGGGTACCTGTGGAAATAAAAAACTTGATGCGGGATTACATACTTCAACCTTTTACAACATGCATACCTTACATGCACATCATGACATGACCACCGCAGTGATATACTTACTGATATTACTGCTACCTTCTCACCGTCAAGAAAAATATTGTTTTTTTACCGAATAATAAAAGTATTAGGTGCCTATTGGCAGCAGTACGTAATGCAGATATTCTAGTATTGGCTAGTCGGATAGGCATGTACATTGGTAGGTACGTGTATATATGTATGTATCTAGGGTACATTCTAGGTATTTATGTGGACGACGCAGAATGATGACCACAGTCAGCATAAAAACTTTATTGGATGTCAAGTCTTGCGATATCTGTGATGATGGTTTCAATAGATAAATCCGAGAAGAATGTCGTCAGAAAGTCACAGCTTTGGAAACATGTTTCTTTTGCAAATGGGACGACATAATTTTGTATTCATTGAAGAATTATCATAAGAGGAACAAGAAGAAGAAGAACAGACTGGTGCAAAAAAAAGTCCAACAAGTTATACGTATTTGGCTGGAGAAGAGGTAATAAACACTATACGTAGTTGTAGGTAGGTGGGTATGTCGGTAGGACGAGACGCCGGCCCCGAGAATACAGATTTCGAATTCATTGACCAACATCAGATATGTAGTAGTCGATCTGGAGACGATACAGAAGAATTACCAAAATCCGCGTAGTTGTTTGATAGCATTTTTCCTCGTATGCATCCAGATATTCTGCACAACAGGAATGATGAATGGCGAGATAAATAACACACCATGGAATAAATTTGCATAATTCTCATCCTCAGTTTGCCTGCAAGTGGGACGAGAGTGAGATGACGATGATGATGAGTGGTCTGTATTTTGATCCGTTTTCCCGTTATTGGTTCTTGTTATTATTATTGCATGGCCAAACAACTTGTTATGAAATTCAAATTTTAATTATGACAGCTTCAACTCCAGTCCAGAAATTGTAGGTTTGCCTGCTTTGCGTGTTGGTCTTCTCAGCTCTGGTTTGTTGGTCGGGTGGTGTAATCATAAGCTGAATATTTTTATGCGTGATGCAAAGCAGTTAACAATAGGACAACATGTATGTATCCTGGCATGCATATGATACGCCTGCAGAATGAGAGGAAGGATATGCTGTTGTTGTTGAGGTTCTGGTTAAAGAATAGAAGGAAATGTAATCCCGTTTGCGGCAGGGTCGTCGGAATTAATATAAATATTTATTATAAAACGGTGAGATTTTATATCTCGTTAGGAATTTTGGTTCTGAAAATCAAAAGTATTTTTAGAACAGATTTCCACATTTGCAGATTATATGATTGGCAAATGAGTTTTTTATGTATGGATTAAAAAAAAATATTTTTGAAAATTCCCCGAAAGGATTGCGCCTTTCTGTCTGAGGTACAAGTTAAATTTAACTAATGTAAGTATTCAGTCGCGGATGCAGGGTTAATGGACGACGCGACGTTGCTCCTGACAGAGTGGAACATTGTAAAGAGCTTCTTGTCGTCATGAATCAAGTCATAGAATTGCAATTTTACACATTTCGGTGAGAACCGCATCCAATTGAATGCCATTACGAAATGGCGTTTTCCGCTTTACAGTCTACTAGAAGTTTCCTCCGACCAAAGTTTGCATGACATTTGTCTGCTGCTCTTCTGAAGAGGATGATGACAATGGATGCGAAAAAGTTTTTAAAATTCTAAATTCATACTAGATAATTCTATTTATCCAACTATGACACATGTATGTGGATAATGCGATCCGGATAAAGTGGGATTTTTGATACAAAAAAACCTGCGGGGCTATGAAATTGAGGATCATGAATGAAAGTGCGAATACTTGAACAATGGATTATTTTTATATTTGCAGAAACTAAATCTGACCGAGAAGAAGAGCTGAGAAGGGCGAATGCTCGAACACCCTTGAGACCATCAGTCATACACAGAGCACCGGCCCCCAAGTCGCCACCAGCGTCTCCCTTTCCTCCAGAACAAGATGCACCACTGGATTTTAGTCAAGGGTGAGTGTGCTAATAACTTGATATCGTACTTCGCAAAACAGAATAAGGGATGAAATGTATGAATAATATTAATGAATACAATTATGATTTACAGGGGATCAGGCACTAGTGCTGAGCCGGAAGATTATGAAGGAAACGGTCCACCTCGCGGGGGGAGAATGGGTGGCGGTGGGATGCCGTCAGGTCCTGGAAAGGGGAATGGAGTTGATATGCCCTCATCTGGGATGAACAGTGGTGGGGGCACGAGCGACCCGCCATGTCATGGTACCAACAACAATGGGAACGACATGTCAGGCAATATGGGTGGAAGTGGTCCAGGTGGCTACAGACTGGCCACGGATCCTCTGCCCCCCGTCCACAGCCTGGGGATTGGAGGACACTTTGGCTCCAGCAGTAATGGGAATGGGATCGGAGGAATGAATGGCGCCTTCCTCTCGAGATACGATCCACGCCAGGCTGAAGCATTGTTAGACGTCTGCGTAGGGGGGCCGGTGGGTGGCCATTTGGCAAACGACCCTCTCCTGTTACCTCTCCCAAGTCCGGAATCTCTCCTCGAGTTGGCCGAGTTGTATCGAGATGACCCTCCGGCACATGACATTGATGCCCCACAACCCGAACCCCCTCCACTTTTGGCCCCTCTCACCCCAATGGAACCCTCTGCTAGTAACAGCTCAGACCATTGCGCTGTGAAGAATGAGAACCACAGGAATAATCTCAACTCACAATTTGCCGTCCGAAGTTCTAACAACTTAAATAATCCAATGTTGGATGGCAGTGGCCAAGGTATGTATGCTTTTACGGCAATTGGACGATGAACAACCACAATTGTGGTATCCCTGCATAAATTACTAACTTTTGAACTTTTCCCTAATTTTGCAGGACGCCAACAATTTATGCAGCAACAAACAAATGACTTTTTCAACTTTGGTGGATTCAATTTTTCCGACGAGTTTAGCGCTGCACTAGACAACCAACTGAGCCTTAACCCGTCCTTGCTTAACACCGCGACACTTCCGTCATCCACCTCGTCGTCGATCATGGGGTCGTCATCGTCAACGCAAATGGTAACTTCTATTGCTGGGTTTCCATTTCCTCCTGTCCCCTCCTCCCTGGCTAAAATTTTCCTCCCCTCCCCCCAATCCAACAATAACGAGTCCATGGATGACAATCCATTCCCTCACGACGTACTTGACCACCACCGGGCCATGCCAACCTCACTCTCGGGCACTCACAGTCCTGGCTCCAGCGGACAATCGAGCCGTTCTTCCAGAAGACATTCTTCCGGATCATCGGCAAGCGGTGGACTTTCTGGACGTGTTTCTGCTCAGCGACAACGGGTTAGCAGATCTACATACTTTACTTCATTATCATGTAGCTGATCCACACCGGTTCCACACAGCCAGTTTTCTTCTTATTGTCCACACCCTGTATAAATAATAATTGACCCCACCACGACCACCACCACTCCCACCCAATTCTGTCAATTGTTCGATATAATGTTGGTATTTTACTAATTTATTTTTATTTGATGTATTTCCAGCAGTTGACCATTCCAAATGACGCACACGTGGAGTTTGTTAACGGAGGGCATGGTATTAAGAATCCCCTCGCATGCCATTCCCCTGACCTGGCGATGGACGAGAAGTCCAACAGTGGATGCGGTGACTCTTCGTCGGACTCTGGTGGGGAGAAATGCAGCGTCAGCACGAGCACTTCGGGAGGAAAGTTGTCCTGCAGAATTTGTGGGAAGGGATTTAACCTACAAAGACTCCTTAACAGACATTTGAAATGTCACTCGGATGTGAAGAGATATTTATGTACATTCTGCGGAAAAGGTTTCAATGACACCTTTGACCTTAAGCGACATACAAGAACTCACACTGGTAAGTTTCAACTTATTTCAGCACATTTCAATACATGAGTAACAACTAATGCCATTCAAGCATTTCAATTTTTTAAATTTAAATTTTCACTTTCTAGGCGTAAGACCTTACAAGTGCAACATGTGCGAAAAATCTTTTACCCAGCGATGCAGTTTGGAGTCACATTGTCTAAAAGTGAGTTGGTTAATAATTTACTCGCCTTTTTTGGAACGGTTTTTATCTCTGAACAATTATTCTTATATTTTACCACGTGTTAACAAATTTTACCGGCTGAGACTAACTAATGTTAATGATTCTTTGCTACAGGTCCATGGAATGCAGCACCAATACGCATATAAAGAACGGAGGACGAAAGTTTACGTTTGTGAAGAATGTGGACACACCACCGGGGAACCCGAAGTCCATTACGTCCACCTCAAAGACAATCATCCCTATAGTCCCGCACTCTTAAAGTTTTACGACAAACGACACTTCAAATTTACTAATTCCTCCTTTGCAAATATGTTATTGCAAGTCCGATCCTAAATAAACGGGATTTTGCACATTTCTATCTAATCGTTATTTTGCTGCGTGTGTGCAGAATCTTTCAACTATTATTATTTTGTTTATCGCACTTACATACCCTCCCTCCGTAGTCTGAATATTGAATATATGGATATCTTGCAAATATGTAATCACCCAAAATCCACCTCATACACGTATTACACACACACCCACGAGTCTTATAATTAGCCTTACTTTTTTGTACTCGATCCAGGTCATTTCATTCGCGATAGGATTTTTTTATTCGATTTAATTCGATCGCCCACCCACCCACATATTACAACAAGGACACAAAAGTATTACCCTCTTGAATGATAATAACCACGCAAAAACCTTTTGGGATTAAGAAAATAGAAAAATGTTGTAGGAAATGATATAAACACACGTACGTGAAAATCTATGAAAGTATTATTGTGCATAATAACATTATATTATTATTCGCTAACACATAGCGTACAAACTATTTCAAGAACTAAACTAATTTACTAATTATAAAAAAGCGTACATTACTTAAAAATATGTAACGTAACCTAGTATAAAAAAAGGCATTGTATTTATTGCATTGTTTAAGCATGCTGCTGTTAAGTAATAACAATCTCATTATTATATAACTATTTAAGAAGATTATCAATTACTTTGTAGAATTATTATGACTCGTAAAAGTAATTTACATCCATAGACGATCACACATTTAAGTATTAATAATTTATACAGCGCCTGCCTCTCCGTTCATTATTCATACGCGCAACGAAATAATTTTAATAATAACACAATATGTAAATGATGTCCAATTATCTCAGTAATTAAAGGATTAATGGGATGACTTTCCTTTCTTATATATGTGTCCGATGAGAGAAAGAGGGTAACAATTGAATCTTGAGGGGGTTCCAATATTCTTATGTGTAACAAAACAATGTCCGTTGATAAAGTTTATGTACGAGAGAGAGATAGTGAAAATGTGTGAGAAAATGTGACGAGAAAGTGAGAAATTTCTGTATAAATAGTAATATTATTGACCGTTTGTTACGTACTGTAATTTAATACGATAACTGACGCCCATGCTGTCGTGAATGAAACCAAGGTGCTCTTAAGTGTCAAGAAACGAAATGTTTCTCTACTCTAAATCAATTCCTCCTGTCGCCTTTATTAGTTTTTTTTAGTTGAGGTGTAGAAAATCAGATGAATTATTGTCGTCCTTCCAACTGCATTTTATTTATATGTCAAACTAACTCCTGCGTACCTTTGAGAATGATATAATTTAATGGTATACATAATAATGATTATTATGAAATTGGATTAATGTTGTGTGGCGAGGAAGCGGTTAAATGTATGTACTAGTTGATTTTGTTTAGTTGAGGCAATCGGAAGAAAGACTGTATAACAATCATGTTCACTATGTAATGAATGGGCACCAGGCCCATCAATTTATTTACTTCTACTTTTAGGAGTTAGGGGTCATAAAAAGGTCCATTGTTGTTTCATGAGAAAAAACGGACGGGATATGTGATGTAGATCGTACAAATATTTTAAGGAATGTTAATGAATTAGTTGTTAATTAATGTCCCCCTGAATAATTGGCGTACAAAAAATTTACGTTATTATTATGGTGAGAATGATACGCACTTTTACAATATGCAACAAGTATAATATTGTTTTTCATATACTCTTATTGTTATTTGTTATCGAATAAATAATTGAAATTTGTGAGTACTGTAAAAAAAGCAGGTTAAAAATACCCTTTCCCCTCCGACATGACTTAATTTTGTTGTAAGAATGCGTTTGGTGTGTTAAGATCATTACCAGAGTTTATAATCGAGTGTTTTGATATTTTATTTATGTAAATTATGTGAGCCTGATCAAGAGTAGAATAAAGCTTTGGAAAAATGGAACAAAATATTTAACAGAGTTTGTTTTTATGCATGTTTGTATTTCAAGTTTTGCATGATTTTTCTCGTGACGAGAGCGTCTGTCCCACTTTATGTTAGTGGATCCTGGACACTCTTCATCAGAATCTCAGATTCAGAATATCATATTCCAGTGATTCCCAGTCTTGTTCCTCTGTTGGTGTTGTGCTGGCTTCTTTTAAACTTCATTCCTTCGTCGAGTCGATTGTTGAACTTTTGCCGGCATTTTTCCCCATTTGGAATTCTAACGTTTTCATTGGTTTTTGGAATCCAAACTTTGACTTCTAATTTGGCCTCTAATTTTGGGAATTGCTGGTTTCTCAAGGCGTTTCTCGTAACGTTCAAAACCATTTTGCCGGCCTCATGTAGCCTGCCGAAATATAGGTGGCGTCAAAGTGGATAATTTTCATATGATTCACGTAATTATCTTATTTAGACGAGAAATTACATTCTTCAAAATGGCAAAAAAATGCCCGTCTTCTCCCGATAATAAGCAAATATTAGATATCGTACACGTTACGTTTTATTAGTTTTTAATGGTTTTTTCAGTCACGATAAGTCAACTTGTTAAATTTACATCGCTTTTACATAGATAAGTAATAATAATTTTGTATGCATCTTATATATCTTCTCAGTGAAAAACCCAACAATTTTTAATATTTTTTAAAAGATTTAATGCATTACATAGACTAGAAATTCATATTCATCATCATCATCAACCTTTAATAAAGTTGATTTAAAAACTCCTCAGTCGCGTGTGTTAACTGCAACTGGTGTGTTTTTACGTACGTACACAAATCAGTAAATATTATTATTCTTACATAGATATTTATTTACTGATGATAAATGTGTTTTTGGGGAGGATTGACTTGAAAATTTGGAATTATGAAAACGTGACAATTCATTTGTTTGGAATAATCAATCACTAACTCCTTAGTCCTGGTGGATATAGTAAATTTAAATGTAAATACATGTATGTATTTGTATATATACTGATAATTTTGTATGGTAAATTGGAGCAAAAATTGAGAAAATCATCCAGACTCGAATCTATGCAAAACGTGTAGTTCGTCTCCTCTCATGTACAATTAATACACATCATCATCACTCACTAAATAATTTATACAGAGTTTAAAATACTTTCCGTCTTGCATGTCGTACATAATTATTTAATATCATCAATGACGTACATACATAATCGTTTTTTTGAATTTTCAACCCACCACCACCATTGTCGTTCGTAAAAGAAGGGAGGAGAGGAGAGGAGGAGGACACGCACTAAAATATATATATTTCATATCAAGGTAATTACTATGTTGCAATAAGTAATAGTTGGTTGAAGAGTTTTGAGTTTTATTTTTAGAAAATCAGCAACAATTTGTCTTCGTCCACCACGGGCGAGGACAACGACGACATGGCGAACGGGGGGTGACGATCTCAGAAAAGCGTTTTCGTCGACAGACCGTAGCTGGCGGCGATAGGCGACGGATTTGGGGTCAGCATGAGCGGGGTGAAAGCATGGGAGGATGAAATCACTGGACTCTTGCAGGGAGACTGACCACTCCGAGGACTCCCGCAATGGTGCAACTTGTTCACTGCGGAAACATTAAAATTATTAGGGTTTTGAGTAATATGTAAGTGTGAGTAGATTGTTTTCATGCATTTGTAACTGGTAACATCAGCACTTATTTATATGCATCTCCTTTAAATTACTTGGTTTTGTAAAGACTTTCTCTCTTTATTAGAGACAAGTCAATGTATTGTATTGCACGGATCCAATAATTTTGGGGCGAAGAGGGAAAATCGAGACAAATCAGCAGACTGCACCATAATTTTTGGTAACCTTGCAATGAAGGACAGTTTGGAAGTGCAGTAGTCAAGAAAGATTTGGTGGAATATACGAAAGTCGTCCTGTGCAGCGAGATTGATTTTGGTGATCCCCTTATACATAGTTTCCTTCCACCTCTTATGCGATGCACTTCAACGTTCCCGTTATACCCAACTTTCCCCAGCAGGATATGATGATGCACCCGGTAATAATATTTATCCACCCAAAAAGTCCATCTCTGGAGTACTTGTTTCTCAAGTGCGACGGAGATCTCAATCATTGCATTGCTGCTGCTGCTGTCTTGTCAAGTCATGTCCAAGAATGAGACAGTTCGTCCCCAGTCTCGCAAAAAGTAGTCTCGCCCATTGGCTAAATATCGTTCAAACGTGTTTCATGTGCAATTAATGTGTGTGAATATTGCAAAATTGTTTTATTTCTATTCTCTTCCGTGCGCAGTATTGTGCCTGGTCTAACGGAGCAGGGCGGTCTTGTATGTGCGAGTGCGAGAGGATAAGGGACGAGGAGGGAGTGGAAAGGCCATGCTTAGCGTCTCCTCTGTGACGGTTTAATCTAGGAAATTGCGGCTCACATTGCCTCCACCATTTGTCTCACTTAATGTCAAGCATCCGCTCCTGCCACATGATGCCCAGCCCAACCAGCAGAGAAGTACAAGACCAAACTAAACTCATCCTTTCTCTCTCCTACATCTCTACATCTCCAGCTTTCTTCGTCTCCCATGCTGCAGAGAGAGCGAGCGAGAGATCACCGCAGCCAGGGTGGGAATACGTACAATAGCAACTACACATCTCTCCTCCTCCTCCTGGAAGAAGAAGAAGGGGGCTCCTAATGAGAAAAGTGTTCCCACTGTGCACAACTCCAGCGACACAATGCAAAACAAATTTAGAGATAGTCCGTAGTCTCCTATACTGATTATATCCAAACTTCGACGGCGGTGGCTTCTTCCTCCTCCATCCGAACGCCATATTGAACCAATATTTAGATAAGACTTATTGTCACGGTTTTGTCAGACGTAATTTGTCGCGTAACAAAGTTTCAAAAATATAAACTAGGCAGTTCTAACTGTGCAGCAGTCTTGTCGCACAAAGCAACGATTGATTGACTAGAGACAAGAGTGAAAGTAGCAAGTTGTTGTTGCAAAGTGTTCTCTCTCCTTCTGAGACGTATGATAATGATGCTGACTGCTAAATGGGTGGTGGATGCCAAGAGATAAATTTGGCGAGTGTAGGTATGTCCCCCACCCGGCTATCTGGAGAGAGAGGATGGAGGATGGAAGTCCAAGTCGCAAACTCAAACCACAACCAAAGTTATAGAAATGGGAGTTGCAGCTAGGCGGCTAGTAGTAAATGCAATTATGATGATTACCCGAAGAGTCAGAGTGCTTAGAGTTTTCTTTGGTAGTAGACTTGCCATTGGCTTCTTGAGACGACTTGAGAGACGGGGAGTTTTCTCCGTTGTTATTCCCACCGCCACTTCCTGAATTATTGCTGCTACTTCCGTTCCCCTGTCCAGACGAGTTTGATCCGGTTGAGTTGTTACTCGACCCCTGCTTCTGCTGAGCAAGCCGCTCCTGCTTTCGAAACTTGGCGCGTCGATTTTGAAACCACACCTAGGCAAAAAATGAGACAATGAGACAAGTGACACAGAAAAATATGGAGAGAAAAATACAGGAAATAATAATAGAGGCAGAACAAGTGTCCATTTTAATAGACAATACGAGTCAGTTACTGTTACTGCATCGTCACTTCCTTCACATCAATTATCTTCATTCGCATTCATGATGATGATGATGATGATATTGAATAAATGTCATAGTTATCGTTAACACATTATTCGTCGGTCTCCCTTTTATGCACATTAAATGTTATGAGATTGACTTGGTTAAATGCACCACTTTATGTATGCATCACTTTAAGCATGTGCATGCATACACGTATAATCCCGCTGTGCCACCTGTCACTGTTGGTCTAGCAGATTTTTCCTTTGGGTCTACATACTTACATGTGTACATGAATGTGTCCAATGATTAACTGAATAGTGAAAGGCAGTCGTGAATTCTAAATGTTTCACATTTTTTTGCAAACCTAATACTTGTTTTTACATTACACAAGTAATTTTTCATCAGAAAAGAGAAAGCAAAAAATGTATATATGGTGCAAAAATTGAAAAAAATACGGATAGATTCAACAATGTCATGATAATCTCTGGTACACGAAAACGAATTGAGTTATCACAACAATGCCATGTGCGAAGGAGGAAAGTTGAGTTAATCATTTGAGTACTTAAAGGCTGATCACCCCTTCCCTTCGAGGAAAGCATATAGCTTATCCTCGTCCTCGCATTCCAATCCAATCCAGGCAGATTGAAACGACAAAGACTTTACACCCTCGATCGAAGAGCAAACCTTGCGTGTCGACCCAAGTGATAAAGCCGAAAAACAATGACATATGACACAAAATACAGTGTACAACTACACACATACAATAAGGGCAACATGATAAATAATGACGCACATCCATTGGTTTATTATCAATCGTGAAGTAATACAATCAAAACACGAAGTCTTTTTCGTGAAACTACGCCAAAATTTAAAATCATTGATTGCGTCAGATGTGTAGAATAAACTAAGGCCAGAAACTTAGATAATAATGATTATTAAAGTCAAGTCATGTGTGTCACTTGCTCCACTGCATGCCAAAGTAGTCTGGTATGGACAATGAAAAGTCGGGAAAAGATTTTATGACCCGAACTACCCTGCTTCACCCTCCTTGCTCATCATCAGCACCAATGTCGGGGTTGTACTGGCAATGTTGATGTCTTTATTATGAGTAGATCAAACATTTAGTTTGGTTGTTCCATGGCCACATGTCCCCATTGAGTCAATTGAAAATATATTTTTATACCAGTTCATCCATCCGCTGCACAAATAAACAGAGGGCTAATGGTCCCCACACCATACCCACTGCTCGATGCCCGGGTAGTGTGGTAAATGGCTGTGTGGTGCTAAAAGTCCTCGGATTGAAACTATTGCGAGGAGGTCATAGCATCCATCGTCCCTTCTTTTCGGATATAATATCTACGTGGCTACACTATATGCATTTATGTATCGGAGAGAGAGCGAGATGTAGTTCTGGCTCATTGGCTCATTCTGCCTCGCTACCTTCGAATCTCTCCAAATGAACATGATGCCACTATTTGTTTTTTAACTTTTCACAACCAACCTCTGCTGCCAGTTGTTACGTGTTATGTTGTACTCCTTGTTTGACCTAATGAGCTGAAAATACAGCTACAGACGGTACAAATGTGTACGAGAGAGAGCATTATTTGCGAGTCAACCTGCTACTTAAGTAATAATTTATCTCGCACCATGTCCTCATAAAAGCATTACATTTGTTAAATTAAAATCACTCGACGAGAACTGCTCCGTTTGATTGAATGGGACATTTTCTAACCGGTTGTCCTCCTCGTGTTGTTGGTTGGACTAATTTAATGACGATATTTTTCCGGGAACATGCCCCATTTCCATTTCATTAGTACCCTTTCTCTCTCCTCTTGACATGTAGGCATTTCCTTTTTGATTGCACAGGATGCAATCTACTTTAGTAGAGTTTAAGCATGTAATATTTTCACGTATTTAAGAGGACAAACTGGAAGCCAGTCTCAAAAGTTATGCGTTTCTTGACTTTGACAAAGTAAGATGAAAGAGCGGCTGAACTGGTGCCAGGTTATTAGATGAAATTGTTGGAATTTGAGGATGACAAGGAGAATTGGGAGAAAGCAAATGTGTCAATGAAATCCACTCTGAGATGATGGAAACTCTCGAATCTTCGCAAACCCATGCAGCCACCCACCCCGACCAAATCAAGAACTTTGCCTAATATCTTACGTGTACTTTCTAACGTACTTTCCAAATTTCTAGCCCAACAAAGTTTAGCCAGATATTAAGAAAATTATAAATTGGGGTGGAAATGTCGTCTTGAGAGGAACTCTAAACTAAACTAAACTAAACTCTCTTCCTCAAAGTACCATCATACCAATAAATTACACAATTTCCATCTCTTGTTATACATAAAGTCGAAATTATGTATTCAAAAATCTCTGCTAAATTGAATAACAATGATGAACATCAATTGGGGAAAACTTATTAAGGACGAATGAAAATTGCGTTGGGAAGGGCACAGTAATGGGTGTAATAAAATATGTATGTATGTACGGGCTTCCGCTGAAATAATGGGAGATAGAACGATACGATTTAGATGCAAGGTTTGGCCTCTACTTAAATAAGAAGAATGTCATACAGAAAAACCTCCTCCCCTTCCGCTCCTCCTCCTCCCAGAGCAAATTAAGTCAGCATCATTCAGAGGAGAGGAGAGAGAATTAGAAACTGCCATTGAGTTCAGTCGTGATATCTAATTTTCTTAAGTGCCTTGCACAGGATCTCTGGTGCCATTTTTACTAGCAACACTTAATCGCTTTCTCCTCATCCTCATACCCCCAATATTCTGCATTCTACAGCTGCATCATCATCATCAACACACACTGACACATTGTACAAATACTTACTACATGTGTACATACATAGCATTACAACAACACCCATACGAAGCATCCAATATTTATTTCCGAATCTCCAATCTCGAGCAGTATGCAACTGACTGTATGCCAACGGAACGAGCCAGAGTCAACGTTCAACGACGTGGTGGTGGTAACTTGGAACTGATTATGTTAAGTACTCTTTGACTGGGAAATGGGAAATGCTACAGCGAACCAAGATCACATCATGGGTCGCATCGACCTCATGTATCTTTCGTGTCCCTTCATTTCATTCCATTTGCATTCAACTCGGATCAATTCATCTCTCGCTAATCACCTTCCTTTCCTTTTTTCTCTTTCTCTCTTAAACTCCACAATCCCATCCACGAGCTCCTCTTGTGTCTTACATATCTCCACATTTTCTCAATTTAAGACATTAAATTTCAAGGGGTGGAATCCTCCAGATACGTGAATTCATATGCAAAGGATGCCCCTAGCTTGGGACTCCACTCAACTCTTTCCAACTATTTGGGGCAAAGTTAAACTTTATTAGCTCACGTAGTCCTCCAGCACCACAAAACATTCTATTATTGATGCAAAGTGAGATTGTGGGTAGCTCTTCTTCCGACCGAAATGATAATGTCGACTGCCAATCTCGGTAACAAAAGCCGGTCTAACAAAAAAGAGGACGGAACTAAAACCCACCCACCCACCGACATGATTACATGATTCTGATTACACGAGGCATCACACCCTTGTCAAGTGGGCACGTGCTCGCGTGTCAGGAGAAGGATGTAAACTTGTCAAAATGAGACTTTAATCTGCCACGCTGCAAGTCGGACAGGAAGACAAATAATAATAATGGTAATGACTCTGATAATTTAACCAAGGCTGGTCAGGAAAGTGTGAAAACTGCACAAACCTGTACACGCGCCTCTGTCAAGTCGATCTTCATGGCAATTTCCTCTCTGGTATAGATGTCAGGATAATGCGTCTCCTGGAAAAGGGGGGGAGAAAACAGAACGAGTTGAAAACATTGCAAAATTTATACAGATATTTATTTATTTGGAGGTTATTCTCTCTCTTCCTCGTTTATTTTTTACTTGAAAAGCTCGCTCGAGCTCCTTGAGTTGGGCAGAAGTGAAAGTGGTTCGGATTCTTCTTTGTTTTCTTTTCTCTGTCAGAACAGCGGATGCGTCTCCTCCGTACATTTTGTAACTTAGGCTGGCAGCTGAAAAAAGAGGAGGAGAAAAAAATGGTCGTCAAACTCGTGTTCTACTTGTTTACTACGTAAATAATCTAACAAAAAAGGAGTAAAAAATGGATTTATAAATCCTACATCATGTTAATTAATTCTTTAATTATACATCGGCCCCACAATTTTAGTGCATATTTTATGGGAACAAACGTGTCACAATTTGTCATTTATCACGCGCATCACATCCGCGATGCATTTTGTAATGTGGTAATTTGCTCTGGGAGCGTGAGTGGCGGAAGGAGAAATCCTGCTGGTGAGGCCGAACGGAGGAGAAAGTAGAGAATAGACTCGCACCAAATTTATTTCCGGGTGGGAATGGACTGTGGAAATAAGGACGTGGTGGATTGGATGGATGAGAAATGTTTCCCTCACTTGAGAAATGGAGGAAGAATGTCTTTGAAATTTAGAGAACCGTCTGCTTCGTCTCTTGTCCTCTTGCTGCGCCTCATTTGTCAACCTTCCTTCTCCCCAGAACCATTTCTCTCCGTCTCCACCCTTCTTCCAAGCAACCACCAGCGAAAAAAAAATTCCGCCCGAGAAAAGACTATGCCTTTCCTGCTCTGATTTCTGATAAGAATAGGTTTAAATTGCGGTATTACAGTTCAGGCTAATTATCGTTTATGGCGTAGTGACTGCACTGCTAAATTTACGGGAGGAGAAAGTATAAACGCGTTATAATGAACGTTATATATGCAGGTTTAATTATTAGTAAAATGAGGGCCTCTTTTATGACCATGGTTTTTTAGGATGTTAAATTGTAGAGAATCTAATCAATTTTGACTTAAATGACGGGACAAATGAAAATTTAAACGTCCGTGTTGTTACGAATGTATAGTTTAGTAGGTTATGATAACATGTAGATTATGGGAGAATTACGAAGGAATAGAAATTTGCAAAATTTGCTTCATATAGAAAATGAGCACATGTACATACCTTGTAAATTCATGCTTGGAAAAGTTGAGCCGGGATGATGCCTCTGTTGATCATGTCTCATGACATTGCACTGACCTCCTGGACCCATTCCTGCCCCTGGATAGCTGCGAACGTTTGTGTGAGAATATCTGTACCCTCCAACCTGCAAAGTGCACAATATACCGCAAACTGTTATTAAAATAATGACTGAATTATCACCGTTATCATCACAATAATCATCTAGGGTGAAATTGAGACAAATCATATGACACGAAATAAAATAAAACTCTATTGTTATCATTGCACACAAACCTGGGCGCATGCAGACAGATCAGCATAAGAACACGCCATGTTGGATAAGGCAGCCGCTCCCGCAGCCGCTGCGGCGTTATCCATCGAGCCCCCCACGCCCAACGACCCTCCAAGTCCGCACGACTGTGGGTCAAAGGAGGATGCTTGGTGGTGATGGTTTATGTAACTCGTGTAGTCCATCTTTTTCTTAGGAAATGGTGGTAACTGCAAAATGCACTTTTTCAGTTGATACAGTTTCTCAGTGATCACTTTCACTTTTTCAACTTTCTCTCTCTCTCTATTTTCCTTCGCGGAATGGAATTCAGAAGAGAGATCGAGCCGTCAATTCAAATTGAATTTATTTATCCTTGTTTTGATCTCGTCTGAGAATTACAACTGTCAACACTGAAGCACGAGACAGGCCATTCGACTGTATGTAGCTGTAGGAAGAGAGGTAAAAGGTATGTATGGTTTGTGGCTAGTGTAACTCACCCACAAAAAAATGAGACTATAAACTCGTGTCTTGTGTTGCGTCTTCTTTTTGAAGAAATAAACAGAGTATGATTGGATTCACTTTTATATTTCTTTGAACCTCACGTACTCCACATAACGCACAGTTGAGTTCATAAATTGACAGAGGAAGATAAATTCACCGGCGTGTGAAAGAGTTTCTCTTTATCGCGGAAAGAAAATTCAAAATTGGACAAATTTCATTACTCTTACAACCTAATTACGATTCGAGGCCCTCGGTGGAGATTTTTCCGGGCTTGTTGCCGTCACAAGATTATATAAAATGGACTGGAGAAGGATAACTGAATTTTGCTGTGAAAACGTTCGCCTCTAATTCAATTTTGAAGCATTTTGGTCTTTATAAGATCACCATGTCCCGATTTTCGGATCCTGCTTCCTTCCTTCCACGAAGGTGGAGTCACTCCGGGAGGAGGGAGGGCCCCCTCGCCAACCATGCTCCAATCCGCCACCCGCTCCGCCGAGGTCGCAGGCAAGCCCAGCCCCGGGAGATAAATGGCCCATTGTGTGTGAACAGAGACTCGGATTTTTATATTTTCAACAGGTAGTGGCTTCTCCTGCCTGTGTGCATCATCGCTGTCATAAGCACCACGTATCATCCTCTCCATAACAATAATCATAACATCCGGGATTCCATGGGCGAGAGCAAAATCATGAACCCAGCAACCTTTTTACGTACATCCGCTTCCCAAAAATAACGGCCTGCTGCACCATCAAGTGCATTTTTTATCCAAAATCCATGCCACTTTCTCCTAATTTTCTCCCTGTACGAGGCCATGTTAGGGATAGCGTGGCGAGTGAATAACAAACAAGTCGATGAGAAGGAACCTGCCAAACTCAAATAAACAATAACACGTTTCATCTAAGCAAGCATGGCCATCATCTCGTAATAATATCACTGCAAATCTTCTTCTCAACTCCTGCTCCTGCTCCCCGATTTACTCTCCACCGATGCCTAATCTAATCCACTTTTTTCCCTTCCTTTGAAGGTGATGCACTCACTTGGAGAAGAAGAGAAGGTTGGTTGCGCTTATTTCAACTACTTTCTCTACTTCTTCCGAGATTAAGTGGATCTTCATTACAGAGAACACCACCACCACGCACTTTTTTTTATTTATTTTAGTTTTTCCTCCCTGCCTGCCTACCAAACCAATATAGTAAGCAATATACGTGTAATTCAACCTTGTTTATTTATACCTTGCCTAAATCCAGGCGAAAATAGATTCTTGTTTTTGACTTGATCCGAAACACGTCAGCCTTATTATTACTATTATTAGCTCTCTACAACATGTACTTTCTCCTTCTTCTTACCAAGTCCTTACTTTTATTTGTTTATTTTATCAAAGTATTTATTTACTTAGGCCAAGTAGTCAGAGCTTGAGCCTGAGCAAGAGCGACATAAGCCCATCCTCTGTAAAATCATAAATGAATGGTGACAAGTTAAGTGGAGTGTGTTTGTGTCCCGCACGAGTCGCAATGTTATTGCAAGATTGAATCAATTTTTAAGTGGAACATTACACAGTTGATTACTGTTGAAAATTACAAATCTGAAGTTCCCATGACCTCTGGAAGGGAAAAGTTCCATATGTGGGGTCGAGTCATTTGGGAGTTGAGAGAGAGTCCTGTGACAAAAGGGAAATCAGTTTGGAGAGAGCGTGAGATCTGGGTAGGCACACTTACTCATCGGCCACTCCGCGATGCATACGCAGCAGAGATATTAAACGGCATCCCTTCATCCAATCCAATCCAGTGCTATCTTTTTGTCAGTCTTTTATTCTGATTAGAACAGGCCCCATGCAGCAGGAGGAGCAGCGGTGGCCGCATGAATTGCACATTGACGACGACTGCTCAAGTCCCCTTGCACACCACCTTAGGTCCAGGATGGTCGTGGTCCAAGATGTTATTGGGTCTTGCGTGTGGGAAGCTTCACTTCAATCAATTGGAAGGTTGCTGCTGCTCCTCTGCTCCTGCTTTCGGCTGGTGGACGACTACATGGAAGTGTTGTTGGTGGAGTGGAACCTCGGGGGAAATGACATCAACATTCAATGTCGGGACAGAATGCTTCATTGATCTCTGCAACCGTTCCGTATTTTTCTCTCTGCCTTCTGCAAATCCCAGCCCCATTTGCACTTCCGTGAGTTCATTATTCACCGTGAGACTCTACAAACTTTCTTCCTCTCGGATTCTTTACATGATTAAGTTTGCAGAGCTCGAGGGGGTGGAGTTGAGACAAATATTGTTTTCGTCAACGGAATAAAAAGGCTAAAATATTTACTGGTAGGATACAATCTCATGAGTGGAGAGGGTATAAATTGTCTGTTGTTCCAGTCAGGATGCATGCATAGCGTCGAAAGATAGCTTATCGGCATCAGAATTCTGATATCATCAGCAGCAATAAAACAGTTACTACTACTGAAATGTCGTATTAGTCGTACTCTAGATTTTTCTGCCAATTGATGTCAATGTCAGGTCGGGTCGGAGAAGTGTACCGAACTAAAAATGAGTGACACCACTAGCGAAGGACAAAGAAAGGAGAGGAGAAGATCATGACTGAATTAGGTGTCAAGCCGGAAGCGGTGGGTGGGCCGAATTACGGAGACAATGACGAATCTGAGAGCGACAGTTTGGCGAATTAATTTTTCCGAGTGGAGCATCATCATTTATTCATAGCAGGGAGCAGAGCACACAACTGTGATTAAAGTTGGACAGGGGCAACGCCGGGTAGAAAAAGGGCAGCGAGAACCCGACGTACACCCCACCACCACCACCACCCGTCCCACATTACTCCCATCCCAACAATTCTGTAATTAACTACAAAGTATGTGCTCATTCAAAATTTATGAGCACAATCTCTCTCTCTCTCCGTCCTTTATTTATAGTCGCTCCACTGTCAGCTCGATGGGGATTAGCTTGCCTGCACACTTTTTCTCCCTCTAATTCTCCATCTTCTTTCTCCGCCGAGTGGCTTTCTCCCGTCTTTGCCGCTCCATCTTCGTCCTCCTCGCTCCTTCATATCTATCTTTCTCTCCATCGCAGAATTATGCCAGATTGTGTACAGGGAATCATCATTTGCCACATTCAATGGAGATAATAATCATCCCAGACTGCACTAGTTTTCTGGAAATTCCAGTTTTTTCTCCTCGAAGAAATCTTTTCATGGCGAGTAAAACTAAAGTACACTTGTTCCGTTTAGACTTTTAATTCTATGCAAGGAATGCACACGTCTATGAATTGCAAACGGGAGAATAAAGTTGCTTTGGGGACTGGTTTTGAAGGAGAGGAAGAAAGTTTGGCTAGTGCACCGATAAGTTTAAAGACAGCGGAGAGAAAAAGAGAGAGTCCGGAATTGGATGTCAGGCAGGAGAAGAGTTTGTTATTTTTATTCTCCAAGCAGGCAAAGGTTGAGGGATATAAAGAATGGTCGGTTTGAGAGGAGGGCGCAAAAGACGGCGAAGAAGTGAAGTTAGTTTTACTGGAGCCCCTGGAGCAAATAAAGGGAAAAGCGAGGAGTGAATTTTCGAAGGTCTGTTTGTTCAACTAACGAGAAGCAGAGAAAATCTAGTTAGAGACGGAAGGGAAAGTCAACTGTGACTGCATGTTGACATTTTATCTCATACTCTGCTGGCCGATGGGTCCAAACAACTTTATCCACCAGTAGTTCTCAACTTATGGACTTTTCCTCATCCCAGCCTCCAGGTGGACTATGTTAGCAATTAGTTGGGGAGGAATCCTACTGTACAGCGAAAGAACCAATCAAACAGGAAAAAACAAATGTAAATAGAATCACCGAGTTTCGAAGTATCTTGAATTCTGCTGAGGGCAGTTGGCATAATTTCAAGATAATTTTTAAACATTTGATTGGGCGGAATATTTGTATTATTTTGCAGAAAGATTGCAAAAAGATTTTTTCCAATATATTATTATTTTTCCATCATACACAAAAAATCTCGACGTACAAGCCCACAAAAAAAGAAGACGATTGTCTCCGTGCAAAGCGTGGAAGATGATCTCTCCAGGGACGAACTTGGATCAGCCATCGCATGCATTTTTGACGAGGCTCGCACTTGCACTCGTTCTATAAATTGTCTTCCAATACATTTCAGTGTCTATTTTCTGACACGACCAGAAATCTTGTTCCTATTCGTCGCATCTCCCCTGCGTCGTCCTTGTTGTTGTCCTTTTTACTATGTAACATGACATTTTTATGCAAGGAACATGATGTTGCATGGAAATGAAACGTGCCACTTTTTAAGCAAACTTTCACTGTAATTCAATTTACCATAATAAAAAAGGACATTCTTCTTCCTGACTTGATGTGCGTTGCATCAACAGATGCGAAAATATTATGCAACAAGAAATTCACGAAAATTACTTGATTATTTCAATTTCATTTCATACAGAACAGAACAAAGACGGCTGGCAGAAGGTGAACCATTAATCCATGAGATGGCAACTGACGCTCTGATGTGGGGCAGCTAATGGATTGAATTGGAAGGTGATGTAGGGACGCTCCTCTGCTGCTGCTTCTGCGGTATCGTACTTAAAAGGTCCGACAAGTCAAAAACCTCACATTCAACTGAAATACAGTGCATCCATGCGGTTTTGGCCTCTTTGAGATTTCTCATACAAAACTTTCCAAGGACTTTTCGTGGTTTTGTAAGGTGTATGGTGCCCTGGAATAACTTTTAATACTTTTTAATTTAGTTGGGAATTATAGCAATAAGTTATTCGCAGTAAGTATAATTTCATCAACCAATTGCATAACTAGTGGTATATGAAATTTTTAGTTGCTCCATGTCTGAAAACTGTCGTAAAATTGATACCTTACATGTTGGATTATTTTAAACTTTAGTCAACCCTTGAAATGCATATCTTTCTCAATTTAAAATGTAAATGAAGCCTGACTTCCCAACTTACTCAAATTATCAATAATAACATCGAATAACTCCCCGGAGCTAAATATTCCTGCGCATCATGCGACGACCTCAATAACCTCGAAAAAAAATCACCCCAAGTCTAAAATATTTTTCTCTTAATTTAAATCCACCACTTGTGCGTGCATGAATTTAGAGCATTTTGATTTTTGTTGATGTAGTTAATAATTTTAAGAAAATGTGCAGCCCCTCATTTAAAAAAATTTGAGCTGGAGGCGACGAAATCTGCTCCATCCGTCTTTACAGTTTGCTGTTTGGGCATTTAAATTGTAAAGGTAAGTTGCCTCACCTCCATCCACCGAGTTGCATTGCACCAATAAATAAATCCTGGACCGACGTCTTGGTCTGGTTTTGTTGATGAAATGAGAAGATGAAATGTGGAACGACCAACCTCCACCGCATTACCCAAGGTTACGTCCGTATTGTTGATTACGCAAGAAAATAGTGAATTCAAAGGAGAAGAAAGCAACAGCCCCAGAGAGGAAATCTTTTCATTTCAGAACGGGTGCACCACCACCTGAAAAAGGGAAAGAGGAAAGGATGCCAGCCAGGTAAGTAAATTGTAAGAAGGGCTGAGATTGAGTTTGGCAGGATTAATACAACAAGTTCATTGCATTCGGTAATATCGGTAACAACCTTTTCTTCCCGACCCCACCAGCCAGCAGTCCTTTTAAATCCTGTGTTGACGTAGCGAGAGGAATTTTAAGGGAGCATGGTCTCGAAGAAAAAATCTACTTTTCTAAAGAGCAGACAGGAAAGGAGAGTGAGTTTTTAAATCTATGACGTGTCCTCGTCGGAGTGAGCCCTTCGTCTTCTTTTCGAGTTTCTGAGGTTTACATGCCCCAACAAAAAGGACCCACATCGAACCAAAAAGCTGTCCAACTGTTGCTATTTCAGCTTCTATTTTTCTGTTTCTATTTTCGTCTTGAATCGTCTCAGGTAGTGAGCTTTCTCAAGATCGAGAGCTGCTGCGGTGTAGGATTTAATATAACAATCTCATTTCATGTAACCCCATTTTCCCATGAATCTCACTGTTGTCTCATTAAACGAGTTGGTGGTTGCGGTTTTGAGTAATTGCAATGAAAGATTTGAGACGAAATAAATTTTATGGATTTAAGTTTAAAAAAACTAATAATACTTTATTTGAGATGATGACTGAAAAGTGGTTGAAACACTTAAGCTCTGTCTTCATCGGACGTATGTGTAAGACGAGGGGTGGTCATACATACAATTAGTGAGCAGTAGTATGCAGTAGTAGTATCAGTAGTAAATAGTAAATAGGTTGTAATCCGTAGTAGCAGAAATAGTAATGAGCCTATGAGAATCAGATAGGGCCAGGTGCCAGGTGGTATGGCCAGTAGTTTGGATGGTTGGCAGTGCTTTTGGTGTCTCAGCTTCTTGTCCAGGTCCGTACGTATAAATGGAAATATCAATGATGAAGGAGCACACAAGACGAAGAAGAAGAAATGTCTTTCCTATTCTATTATTACGTCCTTCTTCTTTTCACCAGCTGCCGTTGCACTCATTGTTGCTTTGCTGCTGATGTGCAATGAAATGATCCAGCCGATTTCCATTCTTTGACAGCAGAGTTAAAAGACGATGACCGCACCGAAGAATACGCGTAAGTGTGAGGCGACTTGAAAAGAAACTCGTTTGAGCCTTCAGGTTGAGGGGACCTTTAAAAAGAGCGATGCGACGATGTGCAGCCTTAAAGAAATTTAAGAATGGATCCGCATCTTGCTTCGTTCGTTTGTGTGCTCAAAAGATAAGGAGTAAAGAGATTTTGAGGGGAGAGAGAGGTGATTCATCTCAAGACGTAACTGCAACAATGGTCAACCTCACAACGTTTCAGCAAATATTCGTTTGAGTTGAGAGATGCAATTCCGTCCAATATTTCCGTACACACGACAAGACGAAAAAGTAGGAGCAAGTCAGAAATATAATGGACGATGACAACAATGTCAACCCCGAAAGGAGCCTACCTCAATTTAATTTGGCTACAGTGGATATAGAGCGATGCGTGGCATGTCCACGGAACGAAATTCGTCACGATGAATGCCATGTTGCTACTGCTTTTTGACTATTATTACACAAAAAAGAAGAGGAAATACGATTTATTCAGGAGAAAATTCTTTAAATCGAACAATGGGTTGAATGGTCGACTTGAATGTCCAGAAATATGTGTGCAGCACCCAGCGCAAGATGCATAAAAATAAATACACGCACTGATTCCCATCTTCAAAGTTACAAGTTCATGGGGCTGTAGAATCTTGGAATAATTCATGTAACGACATGATGCAGGCTTCTATGTGTACCCTTCTCACCCGACCCTTCAATCTGAGTCATCTGAGAGCCTTGAGGCAGCAGGGATCGTGTAAGTACCTCCACATACGAGCCCTTTAAATCCCGTTTCTTCTCCAAAACGACCCACGATGCGTTTCATCCAACATAAATCTTATTGACAGGGCACACAAGACCAAGCTTTGATTCCAGAAATAGAATTAAATGATGATGCTCATTTATCTACAAAAGAGTTGAAATTATCCGATATTTATTGACTTGGTCGGATAATCGAAGTTGGACGCGAGACTGCCAGCAGCCTTTACTATAAAATTCCAATAACTTCCACTCAGTTAATTTGCAATTCTATTCTGTCATTTTTTTCTAACCACACGAATTAATTAGGTTTTACCGTAATCATTAGTTGTACACAAAATAAGTGTGTATGTTAGCGTAGGTACTTGGGGAGAGGAAATTGAGAAAGAGTAATAGCCACAGTCAGCCCGTAAAGCGTGGCAGGTCGGACACCAGGTATTAATAATAACCAGAACAGGGCATGTTTTCGACCAGAAGTACACAAGTAATCAAGCTCATCTGTAGTTCAGTTTGCATGGAAAGAACAGAAGGATTTTTCAGTCCCGTAATTTAAAGTACCAGATGTGAAGCGACGTGACAAACATGATCAAATTGTTCATGTTTATTCTACTGCGCGTATCATGACCACTGCCTGCCTACCTGCCATCATTATGCTTGATACCTGCGATGATCATTACCTTTTTAGGGTCGTTTAGGCTTGTTTTCAAAATCCATGGTTGGATTAATATTGTTGTATCGACACGTCGTGTATGGTCTGCTTGTTGTGGTGAGTGACCCTTTATTCAGAATATGTACATACTCTCTGGATTTTTTAGTCTGGTACAATTTTCAATATGTTTCATCTCATTTTATCCATTAATTTACGCATTATTTATCAATTTGCAATTTTTATAGTTGAGAAATAAAATTATTAAAAGACAGATCAATGATCTTACATGGTGACTGACCCTTGATGTAAAGGACCAGTAAAGGTTGAAGAACCTCGTGTTTAGCAGGAAATGAAAATTGCAAAATGAATTAGCCAGCGCATTGCAATTTATGCATCAAGTTTACCAAAACTACGAGTCCCAATAAGTAAATAAATTCGATTAAGGGACGCAAAGCCTGACGTTATAGAGCTTGATACATAAATCTAAATTATTTAAACGGATTGAACAAGTTGTGAATAGATTTTCATTGAAAGGAAGTCAGGGGAAGATGTAAAATCATTCCATGAGAAAATTTTGAACTTCACGACGCATATATTAAATTCATTATAAATAGGAACAATGTTTAAAATAACCGAATGATCCCTTTCCGGGCATCTCAGTCTGCATTGCATGCAGTTCAACTGATCTTAAGCTTCTTTGTAGCACGCATAGCTAAATATGTATCTGAATCGAGGAACTCACCTCATCGAACTACTTTGACTGACAGATTTGACTGAATAGAAAATTAATTTCCTATTCAAAGTATGTTATTCGTCTGAATTTGTTTTCCAGTTCCGTTTTAGTGTTCTAGTACCTTTTCCCTTTTCGGATTCGGATGTTATTAGAGAGAAAGGAGTCAAGCAAGGGAGAGAGCGACGGGGTGCAGTGCAATAGTCTCGAAATTCATTCAGTCCCCAACTACCAGCACCACCACCACTTTACTATTTACTACTACTACAGACGCTCTTCTACTATTTACGCTCGTATGTACATGACCACTTTTGACCACATAAAGTCATTTTCTTCCTACTCTATAAATGTTGCACACAGGAAGACCTACCTCATCTCGATCTCTCTCTCTAAAAACATATAAATCTTAAAGTAGTGAAAATTGATAATCCAACGCACATAAAATGAAAGGACTGTTCGCTCCCCACGTAGCAATTGAAGAGTAAAGTCTTAAGTATTTCTATGAAGATTGGAAACAAAAACTGCGACTAAACGAGAAAGAAGCTCTCTCTCGAGGAGAAATGATTACCATGAAAGCAGCAGACTCAATTTTGTTGGCAGTCTGTCATACTTTGAACTTGATGATGGATCACTGAGGGAGCGAGAGAGATAAGCAATACAGAGGCATTTATGAGACTGTACGCATACGTTGTTGAGTTAGTCAGTGAAGGCATTAATATTACGGTTCGGAGGACGACGGAGGATTTCCCCAATTGAAACACCTGGCCTTTTGTATCGCGATGCACAACATTCAGATCCATCCACATCGTCCAAATGTTATACCCGAATGGAGAGGGGTCCCCTTTAAACTGCCCTCCTCCGACCAGAGCTACGTTGCGATACAACTGGTTTTCTGTGACTGAGTGAGCATACAACAATAAGGGGTCGGTCCTTACTCACGGCAGCTGATTTTAAGAAATATCCTTCATATTAAAAAGGTAGAAAAAGTGGATATCATCATCATCATCACATCACCCTGTTCATCGACGTAGTGGTACTGCTGCTGGTGGTACTACTACTACGACTACTGCTTGATAATATTCAGGTTGGCTCAACTTCTCCCAAACTACTCGGTCTCCCAGGGCTCAGTCGCGTGCCAGACTTTCTCTATTGCAGAAGACGCAACAACAACGTCTTGAGTCCCCGTGTCGGAGTCTGCCTACACCACGAGTGAGTTCTCTCCCTCTCTCGCCTGCATTCATACCAGTGCATTGCAAATCCTACTCGATACATATATCATCTCGTTGCGAATCACCGTCTCAAATCGCAAATTTTAAGTAGTTTTACCTGCCTCAGTTTCTCAATGTCTTTCGCGAAGGAGTAAAGTGCGCAGCCAGAAAACCACGACGAGCAGGTGAAGAATAAGTCACAAGTGTGCCGTTTGTGGTTACATAAGAAGAAGAAGTACAGTGGTAATAAAACAAGTGGGTCTTCTGCTTAACCATGCAACCCATGATTATGGATTCCAACGACGAAAACAAGACGCCCGACATACCCTGTTGTCAACCCCGAATGCCCGTTTTGGCGGAACTCTTGTGCTCCGAAGTGTCCGACCATGATCTCATTGAGAGTGGGGCTCGGAGTTTGGAGCATTGTGACAGTTCGGTCATGTCCTACTTTGATCCGGCGGTGCTCCATCATCCAGAAGTCATGTCTCGTCTCAAGTTCTTAGAGTCGCAAGTGGAAACTCCAAAGAGCTATTTTCACTCGGATGACAAATCTGAGATTTTGCCCTTCATGCGGAAAGTCGTGGCGTCGTGGATGTTAGAGGTGATTATTTAAGTTTGACCGGTTACATACATAAATGGTGGATCATTTAGGTTGAAAAATTAAATACAAAAATAAAATTTTCCTCCTTTTTTTGCCAGGTTTGTGAAGAACAACGCTGTGACGAGGCCGTGTTTCCGCTAGCAATCTCACTCCTGGACCACTTTTTATCCGATTGTCTCATCAAAAAGGAGCAGCTGCAATTGGTCGCTTGTGTGTGTCTCCTATTGGCATCCAAAACCCGACAGTGTAATCATTTCTCGCTGGAACTGCTCTGCTGGTACACGGACAACTCGGTGTCCCCGCAGTCACTCCGGGTAAGCAGTTTAATTATCATGTCGCCCTTCGCCTCTCGGTTTCATGGCATGCACGCACGAATCAGTCCTCCGTGATATCAAAGTACCATTTATTAAAATCATTTCGAGGTTGATGGTCAGGCAGGGCATTGAACGAGCGAGACGTTGAAGGGGTGCAAGTTCTCACGTCTAGTAAAGTCCACGAAACGCATTCTTCCACACCCACCAGTATACATTTACACCATCATCACCGTCATGCATTCCCCCTTCGACTTGTTTCACTGCGGATGGAAAAGTGTTTTCATTTTTGGCATCTCATTGTCTCATAATTGGCCATCTTCCGTCTCTCTCCAACTTCGTCAAGCTCCAGTAGCAAGAGAACGGAAAGGGTACAAGTTCAAGTGGAAGTTAATTTCCTCCTTGGAGTCCCTTCGTTGTTATTAGCATTGCACAAGACCGAATGGTGGTGGTAGTGCAACTCTTACCTGCATCTCATGGACGCGTAAAGTGGGTACTTTTTGTAGCAAAGGAGTCGAATAGCAGGCAACAACATGCAATCCGATGAAGGAGTCCTGTGTGAATTATCTCAGTAAGGCAACTCTTTCAAGGGAGAACCACCCCTGGTTTGGTTTCTCCCTTCTTCTTGCTCCATTTTGCTTAACCAGTTCGTTTGTAAATAAATACACATCCTCCTCCTCAACGTGGACGTGCATAGGTGCGCTCTTTTTTATCCCGTCTTTTCCAAAACGTCCGTCGGAAGTAAAGAATTACGAATATTTCATTGTTTCATTTGCGTCTCCGGCTACGAAATCGTTCTCATATTCAGATCCGCTGCTGGATAAAGGCATGATATCTACCAGCTTCACTTCCATTTAAACTAATACATAGTTTCTTTCGCTAATAATGTCACCATTAAGAATCAGGACCGGATATTGTTATCGCCATGCAGTTATTTATTCAGATTAGTAGCGTCTTCATCAGCACAATTTTCAATCATATCAGATTAGAAATAAAAGGTAGCCTCACAAACTTCGCCAATCTACCTAAATCTTTTCCATGTTGTCCTCCAAAGTCAACAAAACCAACCAGTAATCCGAGTGTTTAAGCCTGTATAATTTTCATCCGTATGCGTTGATTACTTTGTGGTTTCTCTGAATGAAAAATTGTACATTTACGATACATGTACATTTATTAGTTGTCCTATTTACTAATCAAATTCTAACCTACCTACCAACCAACCAACCACCTTTCAAATCAAACTGGTCAGAGGAGCGGATGTGGACTGGAATAAATTTCAATCTTTATCTTGTTAGCAATTATGCCATTCATTAGCACAAGCAGTAGAATCCAGTTGACGATGAAGATGATTTTCACAACTTGGTCATCCGTACATGCGAGAATTACATGCATACATATTCTCACATTAAATCCTCTCATTCTGTATGCTCCGACCTTTTAACTTTGCCCATGCTGTCACGCAAAATGGAACTTTTTTACCTGCGGATACGAGGACCAAGTACCCTGACAAGTTTTTAGTGAATTTGCATCCTCCACCGTGGAGGAAACCCTTAAAGAACGAAAACAAGTTTATTTATTCATTCATTGCATGCATGCATCAAGGCTGGTCCACCAACCAACCAACGCAACTCTTTCTCTTTTTTAATACACGTCCGTTAATTAATAACGGATGCAGCTGGTCTCCTTTTTCCATTCCTTCATCCATCCATCCATAAGAGTCATGAGTGTGGTGGATACTTGTGTGCACTTAGAAGTACCATGAGACGACAAGGACAGGTAACACTTGATCGAAGGGATGCTTCTTGCTTCCAAAAGCCGTGTCGTAGCCTCCTCACGAAACGGCGAGTCGTCTCACTTTTCCTCACTCCCTCAGTCCTTCATGCTGCTTCCCTTTAAGACTTGGCCTTATCTAGACAAATGTTTATTATTCCATTGTCTGCCCCTGCTCTGTGTGACTCTGCGTAACAAGAGAACCACTTGAAAGAGAAACCATTAAATATTAAATCAAGTGAATACACAAAGCACAACATGCACTAATCAGGAAATGAGCACTTTCACTGTCTCATTGCGCCCCACAGTCTCATATGGTTTTGCATGATCATGCATGATCGTCTCACTTTGGAAAGATTTAATTCATGAGTTGCTATTGTTTCTTTTTTAATTAAATCAACTTCAATTAATGCGAATATTACTAATGATGAAATTATTTTTTATGCTTTTACAGACCTGGGAACTCGCCATTTTGGCCCAACTAAACTGGGACGTGAATCTCATAACGGCGATGGATTTTGTTGACCTGCTTCTCGTCCGGAGTTCAGAGTTTGAACCTTACCCGTCCTCCAACAAGCATGGCAGCATTGTTCGAAGACATGCCATCACATTTATTGCGTTGTGCTCAACCGGTAGGTCAAGTAGTAATGGAAATATTCTCATTTTGCTCAATCCTAAATGCTAATTCGTTATCTTTGTTACGTATGCAGAACCAAGATTCGTGGGGCTTAAGCCATCCCTCATTGCGGCATCCGCAATCTACGCTGCGGTTCGAGGGTTACGCCTGGAAGCCAACAATTTGGCCTTCTTGCTGTCAGAAATGGCATCCGTGAGCCAAGATCAGCTCAGATTCATCTCGAGCTCCATCGAACAAGTAATTTCGTCCGAAATCAAGGTGATGGAACAACAAGGATTGGATGGACCATTGGCGAAATCCGTGTCATCCGTGTCGAAAGGGAAGGCGTGTGCTTACTCCTCCTCCGTCTCCAGTGCTAGCCAGATATCCGAAGAAGTTCTCGTATGACGAGGACGGAATTTCTAAAGTTTTATTATTCCACTAAGTAATTTACCTACTTTCTCTCTGTTCCAGTTTGAAAAGAATGTGCGTTTGGAAATAGTCAGGATCAGCATATGTAGAAAAAGTGTGTGTAGAATTGCACTCTTACTTACGGTTCGATCCAGTTTTATGTAATCCTCCCGGTATTAAAGTTTTTGCTCCATTGTTAGTAATTTTAAGTTACAATAATAAGTTAGCAAGTGTGCGATCTCTAATTAATTTTACCAATTTGAAGGCATTTAGTTGATTAAGAAGAGTTCTAAAATAATTTATTGTATGCATAAGTTGGGCGTAATACATTAGTTTAAGTTGGGGAAAATGGTATGTATTAATGGGATTGGGTACAATAACAGTATGATCTCGGGGTTGTTGTGTGTTTGGAGCTATATGAATAAGTAAAACGTGCCTTTCCTGGTGGCTACACGTCGGTCGGTTGGTTGGGGGAACGGATAGGTCGAAAGTTTACAAAGTTTTTCAATTACGATTACAATTAGAGATGATACTAGACTAGGAATGCTCCAGTTACCTCTTGGTCCTTAAAAGTGTGGTGGTGACCGAGAAAATTTAATTTCTTGTAGATGACTAGCATATGATGCGGTTATATATTCTTACATACAAATAGTAATATGTATGCGTAATGTAATAGTGTATGCACTGCTTCGTTGTCCAAAGACATGCAACATAAATTCTAGTCTTTTACAAATACATACATAAGCATAAAGTACTTTTTACTCATATTGAATTTATTCTGTTTCAACTACATATAACAAATGAATAAACTGTAATATCTTAACATGAAGAGAATAATACTCCTGCACCGCTCTTTCGCACATATGTATAAAAAAACAAACATTTCGTCGTGTCCTGTCCTCCACGTGAGGACTTTGGAATCGTTAACAGAGAAATTTTATAGCGAACAGGCACATTGGGAGGATAGTCATTAATTGAGAATGAGATTGATTAACAGAATGTGATGATCAAAATTAAATAGAATTTGGAAAATTTATTTGCAATGTGTCGATAATTATCCGATCATCATTACAAATGGGAACCCTGATGGGGATGAGAAGTAACAATTTTCGAATAAACGACTTACAACAATTATTAACACAAATTGTGATGATTCACAATACATATAATATAGAGACCCTGTATATTTACTCAGCAACTGCAAGCGTAGTCATTATAATAATAACCTGCAGTCCCTCAACTATCAACTGATTGAACAAAGTATGAAAACAAACAAATTGTACAAGAATTTAAAGACTTGAGACGGTTTCATTATTTTTGAGCTTATTATCACTAGGATTCGCTGGAAAGCTCATAAAGTAATTTGTTACTACTGTTTCCTAACAAAAGATATTAAGAAAGAAGAAGAAACAAACAATAGAAAAATTCAATACGACTGAGTATAATTTAATTTATATTATTAATGCGCATGTGATAGTTTTGACTCCTTCAAGGCTGCACGGACAACAGTTTCGATGCGTCACTCCAGGAAACGCTCAGTCTCTCTGGTGGCTTAACTAAACTAGCCTTGCTTGTTCCCGGCTTCGGTGATTCCGAGTCTGATGAGGACGAACTCTGTAAATGGAATTTAACCAAATTATTAATTGCCCCAAATAATCTTAATTGTTGGGATGTTAAATACAACTCTGCTAATAGTATTAATCTAATGATTATTAACTAACACTAACCGAGTCATTGGAATCAAATCCGGACGCCGCCATTATTACGTTAGCAGGAATTATCTTGTCTTTAAGGACAACAGAATTCTTTACCTACAAGAATACAATTTCAGCTTAGTTAATTAAAGTACGCATTACAAAATAATACAATTGCACCCACCCTCTCTTGTAATTCTTTAGAAATGCGTTCTTTTTTTTCAGTAAAGAAATGGTTCCAAGACTTAGGATCGCCAGCAAAACGTCCCGAATTCAGGTGATCCGCCATCGAACACACGTTCACTATTCGATCTACTTGATGGAAACTAGAATTGAATCGGGTCGTCATCAAATAGTGTGGAAACGGTCCACAAATTAGAACATTCTGAAGTGCCGGCAAAATGTAAATATTGCCTGAAATTGACAACAATTAGAGATTCATTCATCGAACATTCCATATTGCACACAAAATGATCAAAAGTTAAACCTTGTCGCTTCTTAGAGTCCTGACCAACCCATAACATCTTCAGCGCTACAGTCTTGGCCTTGGCATTAGCCATATTGATGTGCATTCTTAAAGCGACTGACGGGATGAGACAATTAATCTCAGGAATGCAAGTGAACATGGTATCAGTGTCCGGCTGGATTGGGTGGAACAACCAGGATTCTCCAGACGATGGAAACGGAAGGTAAAGCCACGGGACATCGGCCCGATCTCCATCAACTTCCTTATAAATAACTGCCTTCGGATGCTTGAACTGCAAGCTGAACGTTACAAAGCATAGAGAATCCTCTCCCATCAACACTATCATCGCATCACGCTGAATAATTTTGATGACTGAAATGGGAACAATAATTATAAACTAATTATATATGTACACAGGACCAGTGACTATGAGCGTAGAGAACTTACGATTAGGAATCTCTAGCGGCTTTTGTTCCGCCAGCTCTTGTGGAACAACATCCTCTTTCTTTTCCTTTTTCTCCCTATAAAAAGGACAATAATTAGACCTAAGTAATATAATTAATTACGAATATAATTAAATAAATGATATTCTCAACTCACGGTGGTTTTAAGGGATCAAGTGCTACAGTGCAGGGTCGCACGTTCATCTTGCTAGGGACCGAATTTTCTTTTTGCTTCGTCGAAGGCTTGACGATGTAGTTGCGACGATAAATTGAGCCGGTCGCGTCCCGCTTGACTGAAGTCGTGGTGGGAGGCTTTCTGATAAACTTAGAAATTCCCACCACTGGTTTCCTCCGCTCGCGATTAAATGTATCTTTAAATTTCGATGACATGATATACTCGTTCCTAAATCTTTGCGGGGCGACAGCAACCCGCCTCATGCGTGGATAGACAGCAACACCCCGCTCCAATTGCCGATAGTTAACCTGCAAAGACACGTTCAAAGAAACATGAGTAAGTAAAAAAGTGTATAAATTTCTAACTAGGCGAACGCGCTACACGTCTACGCGCCTTCTCCATAACAACGTGGGATGACACGTGACGTGCGGTGTGTTCGCGCGCGTACAATCACGTGGCGCAAAATTAGCGATTATTTGACCCCCCCTCCTCCACCCTTCAGCATTTGTATGTTTGTATTCTACGACCGAAATTAGATTAGAACCTCCCCCTAAGTGTACTCTTGTACATTTGACATTTTTATTATGGGGCGTCCATCAATTATGTAACTCGAGAGGGGGGCATAAGGATCCAATGATATGCCACGTGCCTATGTGGCACGTGTTAAAGGGGGGATAGAGGGGGGTGTAGAAAATCGCGATACGGCTTTTTTAATTAAAAGTAAATAAAAACGTGACTTGGTAAATGAATGGTCAAAATTTAGGGTAGAATTAGTGTGACCTACCAACTCCTTTTTTGAAATACTAATAGTCAACAAGTTGGTTAAAGTTAAAAATTTCAACTTGAAATGAATTGCTTTGTACAAAAGAATTTAAAGAATGTCAATAAACGACCATCTTCATTGTTTTCAATTTAATTGTTTCTTCAAGGTTGTTAATTGTAGCCTACAATTTGCAGGTCTTCACAATTTCAATAATGAAAATTTCACAAATGAATGAAACAAGTATAATTGATAAATATTGAATGGTATGGAATTATAAATATTTCAAAATTTATGAAAGTGAATAAAGCATGCGCACTATTTTGCATAGTCAGCATTAATTACTTAACAATTAATTAACTTTGTATGGTGTAATCATATATTTTAATTTGCTCTAATTACTCAGAACACTTAATTATTTCATCAGAATCGGATCAAAATGGTAAGACTTGTGACTTTATCCCATAGGCATAGTAACCAATCATGACATCACCTAAGAAAAAAGTAAAAATTCCTGAACTACAATTAAATATGTGACTTACAGGTGGTGGGTCTTTATCTCTCTCTGCTGACTCCATAAAACGCCAATTAAGGAGGCTGACTCGGGGTCGCAGCCTTGATCGAATGTCGCCATCATCCCCATTGTTAAACATTGATTGTTGGCAAGTGCATTCGAAAAAGCACCGTGGTTTTCCGCAATGTGTCCTGACGACGGGATCCCGTTTAATACTTTCACATATACAACCTAGTCGACAAGTAGCGGATGTGCAGGGGTCCGTTTCACCATTCTTTGAGGTGGAGGTGACGGCGACCGGCGTTTGCGATGACGGAAGCGTGGGGAGCGGGGGCATAGAACATGTTCGATAGTCTTCATCCAGATCTAAGGTTACATCTTGTTCTCTGATATAATCGGAATGATTCACGTCCATGATGACATTATTAACCATGATTTTATTATCATCCAGCAGCTCTACTTTGCACCGCTCGGCTTCATCCCATTTCTTATATTTTGCGAACGCAGAACGCAGTTTCCGTTCACGTTCTCGGACCAGAAGAGTTTTATTAATGATTCTGTACTCCCCCTCCCCACCACCATTTTGTATGGATGGCTTTGGTTTAGTAGTGGAAATCATGGGGTGTTTCTTGATCTGACGCTTAGTCTTGGTCTCTTGTTGAACCTCTAAATCCTTGATAAATTCCTTATGCGGCGTTGGAACAAACTCTTCCGGAATGCTGAGTGCGCAACGGACGGCTTCTTGGTCCGAGATACGGTATTCTCGCGACTCGTCGCGTTCCAGGTGTGCGTCGTCTTCTCTCAACCTTGTGCTGGAGGTGTCAAGTTCAAATTTCTTATGAAGCATTGTCTCTGAAAACGGGTGGTGCTGGTTAACTCTCTCTGCCACACCCGCTGGAACTTAATCACATTCCATGCTAGCGTTTTCTATAACAGCGCAACTAACTCTTTAAGGGTTCACACACGCACGCAAATTATTGTTACACAATAGCGACGACTCGCGTTCAGACCCCAGAGTAGTGACGATCGTAATGATGATGATGATCTTCTATGGACACTCCGGGAAACCGACTCTATAGTATACAAACGCATGTAAAAAGTTGCTTTGGACTGCTGGTAAAGAGATCGGCAAAACTCGTGCTTGCTCTCTCTCTTCTACGAACAAGGACGGAAAATACATTTACATTGAATATACATGTTGCGTTCTAAATGACACAAAAGTTCACATTTTCATTTCACAAAGTTTGTCAAAGTAGTAGACAAACCATGACTAGCAGTGTTCTTATCAGGATATGATATTGCTCTCACCTCTTTTTTGTTACTAAATTCGCTTTTCAGATGAATAACCCAATCGGCCTCCTTGCCTGGATCTGGATGAATGATATTCTTCCGAGTCCTTCAAGGAAAATAATACATGAAGTGAACCACAGTTGACTCCAATATTCCTACAGTCATAATAAAATAACCAAATTAGACGAATTTTTATTACTTATTATTAAGTCCAGCCAGATAAAGGGCCTTTCCTATATATACGTTAATTGTATAAGAACTCATTTCTTTCATAGACCAAACTACATAACATGCATATTTCTGAGAGCAGATATGTCACCCTAACCTTTCGCAGTCCGAATATTACCTGACTGGCACACAATTAGGACCCATAATTATACAGGCAGACTATCCCATCATTTTCCTTGAAGGAATTCCCTTCACTATAATAAATTCACGTACCTGAATGCTTGAATGAATGGCTGGCTGGCAGACCCTGATTCGACCTTGGTTTGAGAACCACCCTTCCTGATCCGATTGGACCAAGGTGATCGTACCTGCCCCACAAACGAGAGGGCCGAAATGACAAATATGAAGTAAATACTCAGTGGGGCTGAGTGGGGGTGTCAGTGACACCGTGTCAAGTTATCTGCTATTAAAATCCATTCATCCTGTGCCTGAAAGTACACATTATGCATCGATAATAATGCTCGTGGTGGGTGACGCTGCCATCTGGGCAGCCTGCTTGACATGAACCCCAAATCCCACCGAAATACAAATACACTCGCTTTTTATATGGCTTGTTCACTATACAAATTTTAGTAAATTGCACATCACATCGCCGGACATAATTATGTTAATAGGTTATCATCACTACTCACTGTAATATAATTCAATTTGTAAATTTCAAGGTACGTGAAGACTTGATTAAGACATCATTCATTGTTTGTTCTTTTTTGACTTGAAGAGTAGCGACGAGATGACCAAGACAAAATTTACATTTTTTACTGTTTCGTAATTTAGATTGTTTTTCTCTTTGTTATTAGTGTCCAGGACATCACATTAAAATGGGGCTGCCCTGGTTAAAAGGGGAAGTGTGGAAAAGTTGGGATAAAACTGGAAAAAGCAAGTTGTAAGTGGTTTATAATGTTTTAGAGGGAAAATTTATACATGTTTCTTGAAATTTATTGGTTTAACTCGTTTTACAGCATTACTGAAGTTACCAAATATATAAATGATTTATCAAATCTCGACACGAAAGTCGATTCCGGATCGGCTAATTGTGAAAGTTTGTCTTATGGTCTTTCCGACAAAGGTGATGATTTTGTTATTCATTATGTGCGATTTGATTTGCATGTTTTGAAATGGAATAAATAATTGTTGAAAATGTGTTTTTCAACAGGAGAACAGTTTAAGCACGCGATCTACCTCTTGATTAAAAAAGGATGTTCAGGGTATCTGAAAAAGGAAAAGATTTCTGGTGTACTGACAGAATTGGTGGCTTCTCATCCACAATGTGCTCCGTTAATTGTTGAAAGTTTTGTTCTCATGGACGAAATGACTACAATTCGAGCCGAGTTAAGAGAAAAATTTGTAGCGATTGTGAAAAGTGTGGATGGTATTTTAAATGTGATGTTTGTGGAGAGACTCAATTCCGATAATTTGGGAGAATTGGGTGCTGTGCCCAATAAGAAATTGTTCAATACCAAATTCATCCGTTTGAAGACGAAACTTTAGTAAGAAAATACTTTTCAAGACAATAGCTTAGTTTTAAGAGTGAGTATTTAATTTGATGTTGTTATTTGTAGTTTTAAACAACAAAAATACAATTTATTTCGAGAGGAAAGTGAAGGTTACGCCAAACTCATAGCGGAACTTTGTCCTCCTTTTAAATACAAATCTCCTGAAGCGACTACTCAAGTTATACAATGCCTTATTGGTAATTGCTTTTATATATATATAATGAGTATAATGAGTACTCTGTATTGTAATTTTATTATAATTATTATTATAGGTCGGTTCAATCTGGACCCAAATCGAATTTTAGATATTGTACTAGAAGCATTTGAATGCAATCAAGAGTGCTATTTTTTCGTTCCCCTACTTCAAAATTTGAACCCGTCATCTACTACGATGTGTGAAATTCTTGGATTCAAACTCCAAAACCTGGATGCATCTGGAGATTCTTTATTTATACAAATTGCACTTTTAATACAACATGAAATTATCACTTTGGATGAGATATATCCTTGGGTATGTAGTGAATAATAGGATTATAATAACAACCTGCTTAGAATGCAAATCATATTTAATTTATTTTGGTAGTTGACCCCAGATGACCGGTCCATTAAAAAAGATTGGGACCATCAATTAAAGGATGCCAAAGAGTATGCTCGAAAGTCAATGATTGTGACCATTAACAAAGAGAAACCGACGGAAGAATCGGAAGAAGATTCTCCGGATGATAGAGTAAGTCATATACTTTATGATGTGATAAATAATTTATGAAACATATCTTCTAAAATTGTTTGTCTGTTTTGGTGCAGTTTTCAGATAATCAAAAACTTTGTTTATGTGAGGCATTATTTAGTGTGGGAGATTGGAATCATGCCTTAGAACTTGTTAACAAGTATCCGCAATATTCCTGTGTCAGTCGGAAAAGAATTGCATTGAAACTGATCAAATTGATTGAATATCTTATTCACCCACTATACACCTCGTAAGTTTTTATTGTACTCTATGTATGCTTACATCATTGTGTTCATACCATTGTTAACATCAAACTTAATCTACCTCCAATGTAATGTACTTTTAGGACAAGGGAGCTATCTAAAAATTTGGGTCCTAGTGATGTGCCAACCCTGGTCAATGAGGAAAAGGCCCCGGAGAAAGCCAAGACGTACGGTGGATTACGCCGTATTATCGATATTATATTGGCAATTGGTCCTTATATACATCACGAACCCAAAGTTCTGTATAAACTGCTGAGAATTATAAGCTATTATTTACAGAAGGTAAAAATAAAGGACTTTATCTGAAAGAGGTCCTTTCTCCGAATTTTTATTTATTATTTCTTATTTCCAGAGTCCCCAACCAAGAAAACATACATTGTATTTCAAGTTTTTGACAGTTTTTGATGAAGTCATATTACCTGCAATATCATTCTTGGATGCGAATTGTGCAGTAACTGAAGAAGTATGGGCAGCGATTCAGTATTATCCATATCACCACAGGTAGTCCAACTTCCAATTTTAGCATTATATAATTAATCTTAAGTGATTTTGCTCAGTAATGTACGTCTCTTTCTTGTAGATTTCGTTTATACGGGTCATGGAAAGGGGAATCTATGTTACTAACTCATCCTTCCTTGCTGCGAAAACGTGTGGACTTGGTTAAGAAACTGAAACATTTGATGCGAAGAATTTCAAAAGAAAATGTTAAGCCAATGGGACGTCAGTTGGGGAAGCTAGCTCATTCAATGCCTGCTGTGGTTTTCGATTACGTGAGTTGCCCAACTGTCCATTTTATTTTGTAGGAAAAATAGTAATGATTTTCTTGTAATGCAATCTGTAGATTTTATCTCAAATTCAACTATTTGACAATTTGATTTCTCCTGTCATTGACGCGCTGCGGTTTTTGACAACTTTGTGCTATGATGTGATGGGGTACTGTCTTTTGGAAGCGCTGTCACCCAGCACTAACAATACTTCAGGTTCCATGTCTGTTGTAAGTGGAGAATTATTAAATCATTCTTATTTCATACAGTATTCGTTTTAAAGTTTAGTAATGTTATACGACATGAATGGTTCACACACTTGCAGATGTTGATGCCAAACCGTCCTAGAACAAAGCACGACAATTCAACCATAGCTTCATGGCTCCAAAATTTATCCTCATTCACTGGAGCAATGTGTAAAAAATACAACATTGAGCTTGTCCCTATTCTCCAATACGTTTCGAATCAACTGAAATCAAAGCAAGGGTTGGACCTCCTCCTATTGAAAGAGATTGTTCAAAAAATGACGGGAGTTGAAGCCGCCGAGGAAATGACTACTGAGCAATTAGATGCAATGGCTGGAGGAGAATTACTTCGTAGTGAGGTAACAATAATAATAGATTATACACATATGTTCAATATCATATAAAATTTCACAAATCAAATTTGATTTTATTTCAGGCTGGCTATTTTGGACAAGTACGTTCTTCAAGAAAATCGGGAGCACGACTGCGAGAAGCCGTGTCAGTCAACGATTTGGCTGTGACATTGTGTATTCTTATGGCTCAACAAAGAAACTGCATCGTTTACGAAGATACTCAAGGGTTGCACACCAAATTGATTGGAAAGTTGTATGACCAGGTAATAAGTTGTACATCAATTTGAACTCTATCAATCTGATACTTTAACGATAATCGATTATGTGAATTGAACAGTGCCAGGACACTTTGGTGCAGTTTGGCACGTTTCTTGCAAATTCATGCACAATGGACGATTACTCAAGAAAAATTCCAACGCTTGATCGATTAGTCAAAGAATATCACGTGTCTCCCGATGTTGCTTTCTTCTTGTGGAGACCAATCTTTTCATTTTTAATTGGGGTATTGGATCTTGTGCTTATTTTTTTGCTTTTATTTAATGATTATACATTGATATATCTGTTTCCCTCTTTAGGCAAAATATGACGAGCTTAGAAGATCAGAGAAGAATCACAAGGCAATGACGGTTGTTCAAAGACAAGAAAAGTACACGGATGCATCCAATGTGATATTCACTCCAATTTCTGAAGTAATGCGAAACTTTTTGGCTCCGAAAATATGGGAAGATATATCTCCCCAATTTTACGTCACGTTTTGGTCACTCTCCCTCTACGATCTTTTCGTACCCACTGATGTTTACAACCGGGAAATAAGCCGAATTAAACAAGCGTCCATTGGCTTTGGTGATAATAAGGACCTCCCTTCAAGCAAAAGAAAAAAGGAACAAGAGCGATGTTCAGTCATGATTGAAAAACTTCAGGACGAAGAACGTCGACAAAGGGAACACGTGGATCGTGTTATGTCGAAATTAAATAAGGTACACAGCAATCAACCGCCACAGTCGCAAATACTTTGTATTGGAATGATAATGTTATAATGGTGAATTTATTCCCTTTTATAGGAAAAGGAGTATTGGTTCGCTTCTCGAATTGCGAAATCAGCCAAGAATGAAGCCGTCACGGCATTCCTTCAACACTGCTTGTTTCCCCGTTGCATATTTACTGCACCAGATGCGATTTATTGTGCCCATTTCGTAAACATTATCCATTCATTATCAACTCCCAACTTTTCTACTTTGATATGCTATGATCGTGTAAGTATTTTATGCAGCCAAATAACAAAATTTACTTACAAATATATTTTTATTTATAACCTTTATGTTTTTGATAGATATTTTGTGACATCATTTACACTGTAACATCGTGTACGGAGAACGAAGCGAATCGTTATGGTAGATTTCTCTGCGCACTTCTAGGCACAGTAATGAAGTGGCACGGAGATAAAGCCGTATTCGACAAGGTAACCAATTTTTATAATTTGTTAGATGTAGCATTTATTTTCATTTGTGATTATTTGTCAACTTAGGAATGTGCCAGTTTTCCTGGCTTTGTGACAAAATTCCGAGCTGCAAATACTATGATGACCGAAAGTAGTGATCATGTTGACTATGAAAACTTCAGGCATGGTGAGTTATATTATTTTATGGATCGTAAAAAAATTCAGTTCATATCTGTAATCACTATTTATTAAGAAAATCTTTGCATTGCATTGTTTTACAGTCTGTCACAAGTGGCACTACAAAATTACAAAGGTATGTATTCACATATGTATTCCTTAGACATAAGAAAAGTATTAACTAATTTTAATTCTGAATAATTTAGTGCATCATTGTATGTCTCGAGTCCAAAGACTTTATTCAAATCCGAAATGGACTGATCGTCTTAAAGCGAATCCTTCCTTATTATCCGAAAGTTCTCAATTTAGCAACGGCTGTAGAGCGTTGGATCGAGAGGGTACCTTCATTTCTTTACTATACGTGTATCTGAATATTTCATTTCTAAACAAAAATTAATTGACTTTCAAGGTGCGCGCTGAGGAAAAGGACAAACGTCAGGATATTTTTGCATTAGCCACAAGTTACATTGGTCAATTGAAAGCAAAGTGGAGTACCTTGATTTCCGAAGAAGATTTTCATCAAAAACCTGTGGATAAAACGGCAGAGAAGCAAGGAAAGACTAAGCAACCCTTGAAAGAAGATAAGGGAGGTGTGGTGAAGGAGAAGAAGAAGTTGGTTGCTGGTCGATCAGACGGAGCACTGTCGCTATGCTCCAGCCCTGTTGGTTCTATTGGTTCGAATCACACTAACACACCACCACCCAGGATATCGAATGGAACGATTTCAGCAACAAACAGTCCCAACATGCCATTGATGAATCTTAAAAAAGAATCAGCACCAACATCTCCCCTGGTCACTTCTGCTCTTCCTAAAAAAGATGCTCCAGTTAAAAAAGATACAAACACTCAGAAGAAAGAGACGAGTTCCCAAAAGAAAGATACTGTTTCTGTAAAGAAAGAGCCTCAATCGCCTGCTCACACATCAAAAAAAGAGTCGTCGAATCCTCCCTCCTCTGGTAGTCAATCGTAAGTATTTATTTATTTCCTTGAATTTTATTCGTCCTTTATGTACAGATTTATTATAACTAATTTATGAATATCATTTGCTTTCAGGAAACAAGACGCTATTTCCAAAGTGATTCTTAAATCACGAGATTCTGACCGTGAATCCAGTGAAGAAAAACCCAAGGAAAAGGGGAAACGTGTTAAATCCCGAGATGCGCCGTCAGAATCCGTATCCACAAATGGGGGCAATAACAACACTTCTATATCTGTTTTAAGTGCCAATTCATCCATCTCCTTGACACCAATTTCCTCCCCAGCTGGCAGTGATGACAGGGATAAGAAAAGGAAAGATAAAAAAACAGATAGAAAAAGAGATCGAGATGCATCAGTCCACGTAGATTCTAAGCGAAAGCGAACCGACGATAGCTACAAAGGTACTACTGCCACATACTAATAACGTGGAGAATCGAATTCTACCTCAAGCTTCCAATGTCTAACAAAAAATATATTTCTACAAAGCAGTCCCAAATATGCAGAAGCTAAGCCGAACTATAATCATGTCCAACGGGGAGACTCATGAAAAAGATAGAAGTACATCAAAAGTAAGTCTTAAACAAACTATAAAGTCAGTTTTAGATAGTAAATTTGTGCAGAATGATATAAACATTTTACGTTATTTGTTACATTAGGAGGAAAGGTCTCCACGCCAATCCAGTCGTGACCGAAATCGTCCCACTGTGGATTCTCCATCATCCGTTTCATCCCTCGATCGATCGAAAGGAAAGCATTCTTCAAGATACAAGTGATGAAGGTGATTTCAACAACAGCAGCAGATGCACCCAAATATATTATAATAGTAATGAAATCATCAAATGACCAGTTTTTATTATTTCCAGTTGTTTGATCTCTTTTTACAATTACATACTTACTAGTAGTAATTTGTTTTTATTAATAGTACACAGTTTTTGTTTATGGAAATACATCACTAGATGCACATATTATGTAACATAAACATTAATTAGTTAGTATGTGTATGTATGTAACTTGTGAAATTCGTACAAACAATTTCAAGGGCTAAAAAAGAACCTGATTTCAATCCAAACCTACGAAATAAATAATCCTAAAATCTACGGAAATATTTTATCATCTTATTAGGCTGAAGTTTCTTTATTTAAAACTGGAGATCCCTTTAATGCTTGTCCTTCCTCGATTCTGGGTTCAATCACCTTTTTCGACAACTCAATATCCCTTCGTCCACTGTTTTTTAAGACACAAAATTTTTTAATTTTAATTTTTTACATCTAGTAGCATTTTGTCTTTAGATATATTGTAAGTAAAGTTACCTATAATCCTCGGCACTGATGTCATGGGCGTGTTTTCTATTCCTATAGCATGTGAATATAACTAGGGCAAGGAGCAGAAGTGGGACAATTATTCCAAGAACAATTCCTGCAGTCTTTGCGCTATTGACACTTTCATGTTCTCCAGTTTCTAAATAGTAAGTAATCATACGTATCGTGATCAGAATATTTGTACAAAAAGGATTATTGGAGTTCACGATATTTCTCAAGAGACAAAATTGAGTACACTTAATATTTAATGGGATTGTGAATAAGCACATAGAAAAGAAACACGTAGACGAACAAAAATTCTTCACTTTTTAATGTGTTTTATACAAGTTTTACTACCTACTTTACTTATTAATACTTATCGTTATATTTACAGAGTTTGCATTTTAACTTTAAAAAAGTAGTAACAAAAGTTGGTTTGTGCACAATAATTTCTATAAAAAATGTCAAAATATGAGACATTCATTTTTTAAACAGACACTTTCGGGGAGACAAAAGCTGAAGTGTTTGTTGCCCTCGAACTGGGGTGGCTGTCATCACTTCCACCACCACCATCTTCGTCCCCATCGTCACTGGAGAAATCAATATTTTCACGACCAGGAATAGGTTCGCCAGTGTAGTAGACGCCATCATAATTTGAAGGTTGCTTATTATTTGGTGGTGCCTGTTGCTGTTGTTCTTCATTAACCCACTTGCTGGGAGGTGGTTGAGTAGGAGCTGCGGAAACTGGTTTTTTGCCATTGGATGGCCTTCTCCCATCAGAGTCTCGTTGTCTGCTGGACGAAGAAGATCTTGAAGATCGAGGAGAACCGTCCAAAATTTCCAGTCGTTCGATTGGCACAGATCTTAAAATATTCATGCTCTCTTTCGGCGGGGATTCGTCTACGGGCGGGTCCATCGTGGTCAGAGGGATAACGAGTCCTTTTTCCTGCAGAGATGGGGAATACTTGGGCTGTTTTGATTGTAGGGCTTTGTCCGTGTAGTAGAGTTCTGGATCGTCCTCGGCCTCTGCGAGTCGTCGACAATAGAGGAGGATGAAGACAGCGATGAGAATTATGGGAACGAGGATCCCCAGGACTATTCCTGCCGTTTTGGCACTTGACACACTTGCATGTTCACCCGATTCTAGTCGAAAGGATGGAGAAGGTATTTTTCAGATTGTGTCCTCGATGAAAGTATTTTTTATATATAAAATAGCTATGAGTCTGAATAGGATTGGCATAATAGTAGTTGAATTATAGCACTTGGTTAAATATTTTTGAAAAAGTGCATGTTAATAATTACAGGTAGATAGACACACAACTTGAAAAATGGTTACGTTTCAGAACGGAATAAAGCGGTAGGAAAACGATGTACAACTTTTTTGCAAAGGAAGCAAGGACGTGCAACAGTAAATAATGGAAAATTTACCTATGCATCTTGTCGTCTTGGCAGGATTCCAATTAGCCCATTCCGTTTCAGTTCGACCATCTTGTGACCCTTTGGTTGGGACACTCCACTCTCCATTCGCTTGACATGTTCGGCGACGCTCGCCCACGAGGACGAAATCTGGGTCGCAGTCGAAATCAACTGTTGTTCCGGGTGTGTAGTAGAAGGTACTCTTCCTTCCGTGAATTGGGGTCATCAAGGCTCCGCAGGAAATGACTGGAAATTTGGATAGGAAGATATTGTTATGAAAGTAGTTGACAGAGAAAGAGGAGGGAAATTGAGACAATGAAATGGGTTACCTGGCTTTAAGTCTTTGTCTTTCATTTCTACGAATTGAGACTGGTAGTATTTTGTCCAGTGGCCATATTCCTTGTTGAGGGTCATACTATAATCAAATTTGCATTGGTATGAAGTTCCGCAAAAATCTTCTACGACTTCCGGTTTCAAAGTTCTGCGGTAAACAATATTCATTTAGTTAATTAATGTGCCTTTAATACGTGTTTGCAAGGTAATCATATTTTGTTCACGTACACATTCAGTGGAATAATTGCCCTGGGATCAAGGTAGAAATTTGGCCGGAACAATTTGTCATTGTAGTTTGAACTTGTTTTTCCATTTTCATGATAGAACAAGGAGTAGCCTTTCTCTTCCGTTTCTTTCTCGTCAATTGCCCCTAAACCAATTTAGAAAAGAATGAAATTTTAAGATTCTGCAAGATTCTGCACTAATGATGAAACTTACAGTATTGCCCAAAGTAATTGTGCATTGTTTCCAGATTATTCGTATTTCCTGTTGGGCCTAAGCTACCATCAGGAAGGACAAAATCGTCTTCGATCAAACCACTCCAGTTTCCGAAAAGTCCTCTTGTTTGGTTCTGTTATGGGAATAATTTTAATTGTAAACCTTATCCATCCAGTAAAGTTGGATAAAAAATATTCAATATTATTACCAAAAATGTCATTGGAAGGTAAACTCGAGCAGTTAAGTGGCCCTTGTTCTCAATAACTTCGACTCCAGCTCCCGACTCGAACATTGCAATGACATGCGACTGGTTCTGAATGCTGGTTGGAGTGTAGACGATTACTCCTGAAAATGCATTTTAGCTGTGAGTTGCATGTTTTTAAGTGTATCATCTCACGTATTAACATGTTTCACAATAGTTGCATACCAGGAAAGTATTGAATTTTCTGTGGGTATCTGTCAAAGAAAACGCGATGTTGGTCGACAATGATGTCCAGCTTATACCGCCATTGAGCGTCTCTGGGACGAAGCCTAATCTCCACTGTTGCAGATTGATTGTCTTTTGCAGCTATTGCGGTCAATATCGTTCCTCTGACCTCGTTTCCATACTCGTCGTTCGTAAGTTGTTCAAATCTGGCTTGGACGTCGAGTCTCTGACGATCAGTTCTAGATTTTACCAAAACGTACTCTCCTTTTCCGTTGAAAGTATATGCAAGGCCATCGAATGTGTAAATGTGAGGATCTCCGAAAATGGTTGCTGCATAATAAGAAAAATTCAACAATTAAGAATTGTAGTAGCATTGTTGCTTCATAAATTTCCAAGTTATTCCTCACCAATTCCAGGTCGTTGATAACCGACGCAATTTTGAGAAACTCTTCGCTCAAAACGGAACGTCATGCACCACCAACTTTGATCCGGTTTCCACATGCAGCAAGGGAAAAATGGGGCAATATCGTGCAAGTAATGGGACAAAGAAGGCACCTAGCAGAAAAACATAACCGTTCTTCGTTAGCATTTAATATACAAAAATAAATTTAAGTGACTCAAGTTCAAATTTCTTACTTTAGAAGCTTCATTCCATGGAATGTGACCATAATCGTGAGATCGACCTGGCCTTCCTCCCCATTTCTGATCAAACGTCATCATCAAGTAGCCGTGAATATCGTAACAACATTGTTGCCCTGCACCAGAGCGTCTATTGTGCAAAAGCAAACATTGTAAAATAAGACAATTTTCTGTTCACATATTATGAATAAAAATCACTGCATACGTTGGCATTGCTGATCTCACGCAATGTTTTGCATTTTGATGTAAATGACAATTTGAGACTTTTCCGTCCTTGTCGCAGTTCTGATCGGGTAAGAATCTTCCTTTGTCGGCAATGGCGAGTTCCAGATTGCAAGGGCAGATTGGAAGCTATATAAAACACAAAAAATATTATTCCAGTTGATAAATAAGCACGTAACGATTAAAGCTGTTTATATATCATACATCGGCAGCAAAATTCTTGAGTAGTCGGTCTCGAACAATCCAGTTTTCACACATTTTTGCACTCCACTCTCGTCCATATTTGTCTTGCCACTGGGGTCGTAAATACCACGCCAAAGGGATTGGCCGACTCCACAAAACTCTGTGAGATATACGCAAAGTTAAAAATTTGTATACTAACAAGATTGTCATTAACTTCTGGTTTGATGAAAACTCCTAAAATTACGTACGGAGCATAAAGAATTCCCATTGCAGCACTCGGATTCGAAAAGTTTACCGTGACCAGTCCTATTTCCAAATTAATAGCAAATGCAGTCTTCTTCCTATGAAAATCTTGTGGATTGATGACATATTCTCCGTTATTCGCAATTGACTCCTGTTAAAAGTGAACATAAATTGAGTAAAACAATCAGGCGAGAAATCATTCAGAGAATTATTTTATGCTATATATATTACCGCAAGTGTGTCGATATAGATGAGCTCTGGGTTGATGGTGTTTTCTCGGTAGCCCCACAATGTGATAGAAACGGGTGCATTAATGTCCAAAGTCAAATTCTTGTAATCCCAGCGTATCAGCATCTTTTGAGGATTTTCGAGCAAGTGGTCACTGTCGGGGAAGGACACGAGTTCCGGAGCAGTAAATGGCGTTTCCACGAGGAATTTCCCCTTCCAGTGAAGATCGTTGCTGCCATCAACCTCCACAAACAGGTCAATGTAGCCAGTCGCGTATAACGGGGGCATGATACAAGTTGCCCGATTTTCATCAATTACAGCACCAGGAACTTTCATTGTGTTGAATCTGCATGTGATTTTCTTTGTTTTGTCAAAGCAAGGTCCTGTCACGTTTACAATTGTTCCGCCCAACATGTTTCCACTTTCAGGGGCGAAGGTCAGTTGTTGTCTGTGCGCCGTCATGTCGTCTGTAAATTTCGATATTTAAGGACATGCTAAACTAGTATCTGGTACATATTCAAATTCGAAGGTATAAATTCTCACAAAGTTCTGGAATGCACTGTCCAGGCATAATTTTTTCGTCAACGCGGAAAATGTGACGGCCTGGAAATCTGTTCACATTTCCACTTGCAAGGATGTTTTGGAATTTGGGAGACTGAGAGTAGGGTTTGTACTCAAAGGCTCGGGTTCCATTTCCGGCATTGAAACCAATCTACCAAGATTATAGTAAAAGATTGAAAGATAATCCATCTCGCGTTATAACGTTCACGAAAAATAGTTAATTATATATATCTCATTTTATTAAATACTTACAAATGCAGGCGTTCCTCCAGTTCCATCCTCAGACGAACCTCCAGCTTCAGTATGCGTTGTCCAGCCAATATGTTTGTAATTGAACATGGTGTACGTTCTGGTTTCATCAGTGATTATCACGGTTTGAAATGTGTTGGTCTAAATAAACGTGTATTCGTTATTTTAGGCTAATTATGTAAACTAAACAAGGACACAAGAATCAACTATCTATAATATTTTTTACTTACCGTTTTTCTAGCATGAATGGTTCCTCCAGCAAAGGAAACGTTTTTCCAGGTCACGATCATAACATGCCTTGGTTCGAACCACTCTGCTCCGACAATTCCTTCCCGAACATCCCACTTGGACCGTTCTCGCAACTCCACGCCCAACTGGTCAGTACGCGACATCAAGTCTCTTTCCACTCTAAAAGTGAGGTGAAAATGTTATGAAATGGGCGTCATAAAGAGAAAAAATGGATAATTAAGCTATCTATTAATATTACCGGAAATAAACACCAGATTTTCGATTGTCCAACTCGTCTCCAGCCAACTCTCCGATTTTACACTTGGAATAGAAGGGTCCAATAAATGACGGATCAGCTTGCTTGGGGTATTCCACAATTGGAAATTCCAATGGATACGTTGGGGACAACGTGGGGCCGTCACTGAATGCCAAGTAGCCATGCATCGATACCTACATAAATTGCATTCCACCATCATGAATTTTAACCTTATGCATGCAAAATGATTCAGATGCAAATAGCAAAATTATGCATGTATGTACCCAAGTGTAATTGAAACCCATTCCGAAAAATGGCAAAAGGAAGTTCAAGTGTTTCGAAATTTGGGGAGAATTATCCCTCAAATTTTTCTGATAGTCTCCAATATTTTCATGCGATCCTGTAAAAATCATAACGACATGATGAAAAACAAGAATAAGCATTCTGGAAATCTAGCACATGAAGAATTTAGTTACCTAAATCATAAAAAGGATACAGCAAGTCGGAACGAATTTGTCTCAATCGATCAGGAGTCAAAATATACGGCTGTGCAATTTGACGCGACGAAGTATCTACAAACGGATCAACTCTAGGATTTATCATGGGATCTGGAAAAACGAATAATACGCATTCATATAGAAAAGTATTTTAATGATGATGAAAATGACATGTGCCAATTTTTGCAAACTATCTAAAGACGGTCATAACAAGATGCATTTATCGGATAATAATGCCAATTTGATTTCCATCATTTTTTTCTCCAGTCCTACATATGCATGAACGGATTACGGGATTATTGATTGTTACAGTCACCGGTGGAACGTTGCATAGATTAACAATAAACTATGTACATGGCATATTTTCAATAATGTTGTTGAGCAGTGTGCCCGTAATTCCACAGAATCAGCGCAACGTTTCCATTTGCAATAATGCGGGTTGACGGGTGACCTCATTCGCTCGTGTTATCAAGTCAAGATAGTAGGAGCGTATCATCGACAGTTATACTCACTGAATCAACATAGGTGTGCCAAATCTCTTTTAGGGGCGACCACGCATAAAATAACTGGGAACGCACACATGGCACCCTTTTGCAAATTCCTTCTGCAATTATTTACCTCATGTCGAACAATATTTAGTCACAATTAATGCATGATGATGATGCGTCTTGTTAATATCATTAGTCAATAATAAATCCATCCGCAGGAGCAAAATGACGCTAGATAGTTTGTTATTTTTGAAATACAGTAATTAAATTTCCGCTAAATATGATCCTCATATTTGCGCTTTACTTTGCGACTGGATTGAAATTAGGACAAAACAAAATGAATCGAATACCAATCTACAAAGAAAATTGGAACGTTTTCTAACCTTGTTTGTTAATATATTCGACATCCGTATTGTATCCTTGTGCCTGTATTCCTGTCGCTAAAAACGTCGCCAATGCGACCAAGCACAAATGCACCGTTGAAACCCCCATGTTCACTCTTGTCCTCTCGACTTTTCTGCTGCCGAGAGTTAGTTTCTTATCCTAATTGCTTTTAGTACGATGGATTTCCACCACACTTTTGAAATCTGAGCACTATTTTTCTCCTAATAAAATTAATTCCACTCGTTGAGAAGGTTTTTTCTTGCTTCAAATTACTGCTTGTTATATTATTTTCCAGTATGAGATAAAGTTATCACTCTCGAACCGGTAGCTGTTCCTTGCCGCAGTAAAAAGTGGAACTGAAGGATGGTTTTTCAGTCCCAAGAGGGTAATTTGTACAAGATAGCTTATCTAAAGCCACAGCAACTCCCTGCTTATCTGAAATCATATCATTGTATTATTTTGCACTGGTAAATGGTCTTATTCCATCCATGTAAATGCTTGTATACGGTAAAAGGTCTGGCTTTCATGCATTGTAAAGTTGGATGTTTAAAAAAGTCGTTGCAAATCATCATAAAACGCTTAACCGAAGAGAGAGAGACGATAAGGACATGTCATGAGATAAGGCAAATAGAAAATTTACGTGTCGCACACACAGACCTGCTAAAAGATTAAACAAACTGTATGTTTGCAGGAAATGAGCATTAAGTCATCCATCCGCTATCCATCTCATCACGGACGACAGACAATGAGATAACTCATTCAATAAATAACACACCGTGATGATCGGTGAGTAATCAGCCAATGGTGTTGATCAAGTAAAGTACATTTGCAAAAAATTACGTGTTTCATGATTTTATCAGTTCGTTCTCGTTCCTTTACCATTTCTGCCCTCGGGTCTCGGTAACATACATGTAGAACCTGCATCATCAAGTGTAAAATAATAACGTTAATCGCTGGTTTATTTTAACGTATTATTGTTATTATGAGTCATTTTGACAAGTCGGAAATGCAACCTTTGCACACTTGACGATTTATCAATCAATGAAATATTTTAAGTATTTAAATAATGACTCGAACGTGTTTGGTCGTATTTATTACTGGGAAGCATTATTTCTGCAGGTGCACGTATATATTTTTATGGTGAATCGGGGGCACCCTTTAGAGTTATACGTAATGTATGACGCATATATGTGAATTCGTATGAACTCAGGTTATTCCAATCCAGGCAGGTTATTAGACTTGGAATTAAAGTATAAAAAAGATTTAAACACTGATGGAGGATTAAGAGCTTTTTTATTTTCAGAAAATGCATTGGTATAGAGTGAGATAAAGAAATAGATTTGAGTTGGCATAAGGTTTTTTTTACAAGATGATGAAAAAAGTGAGACAAGAGTATGAAAAGAGAAAATAAGTAGAATAAGAAATAATCAAGACGCTCATGATGTTAGTCGATTGCATTCTGTTTTTCTTAGTCCACGACGCAGGAGAGTTGCTGTCCACCTGGAAGTTTGTAGATCTGGTTTACAGGTTTGTAGTCCTGGTTGCCGTACCCTTCGTTGTCGTTGTTTAGGTCGAGAGGAAGGTTCCCCACGAGGTCGGAGGCCAGTGGAAGGCCACCCAGAGCTCCATGAGCTTGTCCCAACGTGTCCGTAGTCGAGGAGTAAATATCCTTCAAATTGGCGGATGCCAGCTTTTTGTTGGCCAAGTCGTGAAGTTGGTTGTACGAGTCGAGGATGTTTGGAAGCTTGTGTTTCTTAAGAGTTTTCGTGTTGTAGGTCGCGACTGGGACGGAGCTGTAGAGAACTCCAGGGTTCACGAAGGCCTCGTCTACGTCGTAGGGTTTATTGACCGTGTCTTGGACATATCCTAAATTTTTTTGCAGGCTGAGACCAACAGATTAGAAATGCTTTAGCAGGTTGTGGCAAATTGCGGACAAATTCTTCTTTAGAATTCTACTGCAAACTGATGCATATTAGAACTTACTTGTCGTAAGAGCCTAGAGACTCGAGGTCGAGGGAGTCCAAGTCCAAAGTGTCGAGTAGTGAGGAAGCTGAATTGAGCTGTAGGACAGAATATTAAAATAAAATAATTGACCAAAATGAGACGGTTGATGGTGTGGCATACCTTGGACGGTCGTTGGAGAACGTTGCCTAGAAATGCAGCCCCGTGGGTGTGGCTGATAGCTACCCCCAGGATCAAAATAATGGAAGTAAAACGATTCATTTTGTCACAATAAGTAAATTGAGTTCAAGTCAATCGATGGTTTGAAAGTGAGTTTTTAGACAAATGTGGTTCGCTTTTATATACAAATACAAATTAAAGTAGGAGCGTGATCCAAATATTTTCATGCAGTTGCAGTTTTGTATTTGCTTTTAGAGAATTCTTAAAACAACACGTTCGTGCAGACCAAGACATTCTCAGATGACGAGAATCCATAAAATACTTTCTTATGAGTATGGCTTGATTTGAATATAAAACGATAGAATTTTATCAAAATAGTATCCGACGAATTAAGTAACTTTGTGACGCGTAAGTACATATTTACTTTTATGTCTTCATACACAAACTGTGTATATCGCATTTTTTATTTTTCATAAAAGAATTACTGGATTAAATTCTGGCTGATTGTAAATTTAACATGATTTATCTACTAAAGAATAGTTTGGAAGGTTCTCTTAAGTGCCCTTGCCCATTCAGAATTTCATCGTATGCAGGGATTTTCGTAATGTCTCCAAGTGCAGCTAACGATGGCTTGGTCTGCAGCATGGTTTTTACGAGGGACACGATATCTTTCTCGGTTACAGTTTCTGTTAAAAATAAAAATATAGATAGAATTATTGAATTGTTTTGATTTATAAATGTATATTCCAATTTGTTGCATACCAATTTTCTTTAAGTATTCAGTTGGAGCTTTATAATGACCATGAGCTAATAGTTGTCGTCCAATATCTTCAAAAACGACAGGCCGAGACTCCAGGTTCATCAAAAGCATTGACTGTAGTTGCTTCTTGGCACGCTATAAAAGTAGGAAATGTAAATTAGGATCTAAAGTATGGTCGAGAATATGAAACAATCTTAGCAATTCTGCCAATATTCTGTTCTTTACCTCAAATTCTTCTTGGTCTGGAATTGACGCCATTCCATGTAATTCTTGAATTAGAACATCGGTCAATTTTTTCATATACTCGGAAGGAGCGCTACCATAAATACAAAACAATCCAGAGTCTCCGTACGAATTATTGTAAGCAGTTGCATTGTAAACCCAATGTTTGCTAAAGTAAATTAAACAACGTTTTGTAACCACATGTGTACACTATCTGACCAACGACATTGTGGAAACTAATTTGAACTCACTTATTCAACACGTTTGTGTACAATCGAGAATACATTCCTTTTCCTGGGCCACCAGCACTGAAAGAGCCTCCACCACCCATCAAAATGTTGAGAACACAGGCTGGAATAAAAAGTGGATCCGAGTAAGACACGGATTGTATTCCTAACGCCATGTGAGCCAATTTGGGAACAGGTAGAGGTCCAGCATTGAACTGGCCGAAATCTTTCAACACCTAAAGAGAACAGACAAAGTTATGAGTGCTATTCAAAGCTATTTCGCCCAAAAAGATATGAAATTATCATTCGTTTGTAGTTACCCTATTGTCGCCGCCAGTGTACAAAGAAACGAGCTCTTCTTCCTTCTTAGCTTGTACACCCTCTTGATCCCACACAGTAACAGGATTGACAAAGTACTCTCTGGCGAGATCAACCAGCAGTTTGTGTTCGACACCAACTCCTGAAATGGCCATTCGGTTCGGAGTGAAGTTAGTCTTCATAAACTGCAAGATTTCTTGACGAGAGACTTTCTCCGCATTTTCAATAGGACAATATCTTGGGAATCCTAGTGTGTTGTTTTTCCACGCTGCTGCATGTATCATTTCAAGAATGATCATCTCCTGCTCGGGTCTCATTTGCATATCCTCATTTTCGTACTGAACTGTTTGCTTTGCATTTAATAGTTCTTCATCAGTGACTTGGGGTCGCAGTACGACATCAGCAAGCAGACGCATCAGTCTTTCGACTCCGTTAACTTCAGTCGAGATTGCGTAAACTGTAGTGTCCCTGAATTAGTAAGAAAATGAAAATATTAAACTAACGTGTCATACATCACTCTCATCATGAGTCTCACGTATGTATAAACATAATTTACCCACCTCGATGTTTGTGCATCACATATTGCTCCAAATTTTTCTAGTTCTTTCATAATTTCTGCTTTCGTTTTGAAATTTGTAGATGACTGAAATGACAGGTATACAAATAATAACATTATAGTGAGTATTAATTTTTAAATTCAATAACTCACCAAGAACCCAAGTTTTTCTGAGATGTGAGAGATTCCCTTTGTAAATCCAGTTTCATACCGAGACCCCGACTTGATAGTTATCCCAATAGTGCAGTATTTACCAAACCGCAGCTGTCAAAGTAAAGATGTATGAGGAACAACAATAACTGTCAAAATTTATCAACTGTGCCTCCAAATTTACCGAACTGCCGACTTTCAACCCATTCTCTAGAGTTGTGACTTCCGTTTGAAAAGCCATGGCTCGCTCCAACTGAGCCGTGGGGGCTGCACTGATGTTTGACATTCCAGGAAACGGTACGTCCAACGGAACCCCTTTCACACGGTTTTCTGACTCTCTTATTGGCACACCTGACCTGTCCACTTGAGCTGCCGCAGTTGCTGTCGAGGCTACAAATTAAAAAAATACAGGAATTTTGATACTAACTCATACTCAAAAATAACATTAAAAAAACTGTGCAAATACATACCAGATGACTTTTGCATTCCCAATCCCTTCGCTGCCACTGGGGAATCATTCCCCGACTTTGATGTAGCATACCGCTCTCCCAATTTTTGGCGTAGACGACTAGACGATGATGAGCACAAACGTTCCACACCTTTTCTTAGTTGATGCATCTTGATAAGTGATCAATGTAACTTTTGAGAAGTTAAAGAAAGAAGAAGTGATTTTTAAGTATCCCTGTTTAAACTTTCTTTATCACGACGACCAGACCGGTAAAAATTTCTAGCTGTTCACGATTTATCAACTAGCTAACTAACTATTTAATTATTATCATCAGCGTGAGTGAAAACTGATGAAATAATTTCCCCTTTCACTTTTCACCGGTTTAACAAACGCTGAAGTTTTGACACTCTAGAGAATTGTCCCACCCAGCCCGAGCTTTATCCGACCCTTTAAATACTTTGTACTAAACACTAATTATATTATGACCAATTAAGTCGGACAGCTAACTTTGGCTGGTGGAGTATTATTAGTTACTCGGTGAGAAAAAGAACGACGACGCAAAATGTGGTCACTTGGTAGAAAAAGTCGTCGACCGCCGTGGTTTGCGGGGAAAGTGAGACTGAGGCTCCGGACAGTGTAAAAAAGCGCGAGGGAATTGGCAACCGTTACAGGATTTTATTTTTGTGACTCCGGTTCCTCATTTCTCTTGCTTTTTAAACTCTTTTTTTTGCCCACGTGAAAAAGCAATAATATTTTACATAAAATTTTTCAGTTTATTAAATATATTTTAAAATGTAAAAAAGTATTTCTAAAATACGTTAATTTTGTGTTTAGTTATGTGTTTGGTTGGACATGGAGAGTGACAATTTTTTGTATAATAGGACCAGTGTGAAGTGTGTTATCAATATTTACAGCTGCTCTGCTACTAAATAAAATGAAAAGAAAATTGTGGGATCGTCTTGAGTAATCATGTAGAAGGAAGAATTGAAATGGAAACTTTTGGAAACTCGATTAATGTAAGTGGTTAATTAGTAATAAAGGATTTAATAAATGAGAGAGTTGATAATAATGTTTTGAATAGCAATACCATGTTTATGAGGAATTGGGTCGAGGGGGATTTGCAGTTGTCTATAGGGCAATATGCAGAAAATCCGGTGTTGAAGTTGCCATTAAGATGGTAAGAATAAGAATGTTATGTTTGGGACATTGAAATGAATAATAAGATATATTTTTGTTAGATTGACCGAGTACGAATCAAGGCAGCCAAAATGGCTAACCGTGTAAATCAAGAGGTTACGATTCACTCTCGACTTAAACACCCGTCAATTCTTCAACTGTACACCTTTTTTGAAGACGAATCTTATGTCTACCTCGTTCTTGAATTTTGTTGTAATGGAGAGCTTCAAAGATATCTCAGGAATCACAGTCGGATTATGTCAGAGCTGGAAGGTTTGCTGATATTGATACCTTTCTTAATTGATGTTCTTGTATTGACAATTTTTATGTATATTACAGCTTATACAATTATGAAGCAAATTGTCGAAGGATTGCTTTACCTCCACTCGCATCGAATTATACACCGAGATATTACGCTTGCCAATATTTTACTTACCAAGGATATGAATATTGTAAGTTGGCTGTTTTTATTTTGCATGTTTATTAAACACCAAAGAAAATATGTGTTCATGTGGTTTAATGTTGTTACTTTTGTATGCAAAGAAAATAGCAGATTTCGGATTAGCTATCCAATTACAACGAGCCGATCAAAAGCAAATGACGATATGTGGGACTCCAAACTATATCTCGCCAGAAGTTGCCACCCGTGGACCTCACGGTCTCGAGACAGATGTTTGGGGACTTGGAATATTGTTGTACACCTGTCTGGTTGGGAAACCTCCCTTTGAAACTGAAGATGGACTCAAATCTACCCTGACGAGGGTGGTCATGTCCGACATCAAGTTTCCAGCATATGTTTCTCTCGAAGCGAAAGATTTGATAAAAGCCCTGCTGCAAAAAAATCCGAATGATCGGATTGATCTCAAAAGTATTTTAGATCACGCGTTCATCCTGAAGTTTCAGACTAGCAATTCCGTCAACGGGCCATCAAAACGATGCATGTCATACGACAGTGGACTGGCTACTGCGTCATACATGACGCCAACTAATATTAATACAAGAGAGTTCTTATGCGCAACTGAGGGCAACTTTGCCTCTCACATTGGATCCGACGGTTGTTCCAGAAGTGGGCATCTCAGCGGCCATCTCTGTCCAAACCAAGAAATGTACTCGCACCAGTCGCACCCACTACCTGTGAATCATCAGCTTGGAGGAGGAGTGGAGTTCTGCGAAGGATCTCATGCACCTTTAATGCCAAACAGATTTTTACCTACACAAACGTCTTACTCTTCCCGAAGTGCTCCAATTCAACCAGCTCAACACTGTCAACTCCAACATTCTGGAATATGTCCAGGAAATAATTGCAGTAATGCTTGGCGACAAACAAAACAAACATGTTCTCATAGCGAGATCTGTGAATGCCAAACAACTGCAAAAACTAGTTGCTGTTCCACAACACCAAAGTATGAGGACAATCGTAGAAGTAGGACTGAAGATGTTGCTTGTGCTCCTCCTCCTTCAGAGAAAAGCGGATCGTCAAAAGTTGAAAAAAAGAGAAGTGGTCTTTGTGGTAATACTCTCGATGCCAATGCTAACAAAATTCCAGTAGCTCCTGTAAGTGCGATACGCCTGCGGCCTGTTCGACAAAAAGCAAAAAATGTGGTTTGTAGCATTCTCAAAACGAGTGACGTCTGTCTTGAGTTTACAAGACAAATTAATGGTCAAGAACGAGTTTGGGAAGTAATGCAGATTTCTTCTGATGGGATGCGGGTACATTGATCAGGAGATGACTTTTTGCACTCTTTTTCCTTCGCTTTGACTTGAGTTGATTAGTAAACGAGTATGACTAATGATACAAATTTCTGGGTTTACAGATAATTATATACCGCCCAAAGAAAGGACGAGGTGTAAATGTCTCGGACAGCCCACCCCCATTACCTACCGCCGGAGCTGATACAATGTATAGTTATACCAATATACCTGAAAAACACTGGAAAAAATATTCCTATGCTCATAAATTTGTGGAACTTGTAAAAAAGCGAACCCCAAAAATAACATATTATAGTCCACTTTCCAAATGCTATCTCATGGAGAATGATCCCATTAATGACTTCCAAGCTTGTTTTTATCAAGGTACGCAACAACTCACATGCGTTCGTTTTTTGTTAATTACAATTTTTAAATTTGGTATACAAACATTAATATTTTAATATAGGTGGCAAAATTTGCAAGTCAGAGTCCAGCTGCACCATATCGCTAACGGGAAAATCCTGGACTTTTGACATATTTGATATTCCTACATTTCCTAACGATGTTCAATATATGTGGGACCACTTTAAAAAATGCTTAGAACGTTGTGAAGCCCTTCACGAAGCAATGACTAAATTAGAAGGCTCAGACGAAGTATTTCCTATCATATTTGGGGCAAGGCCGCAAAATTCTATAAGCTCTCCGCTTCAGAACAACAATCGCAACCAAGAAAATTTATCTCCTCAGAGTGTGGTAAACATTCCTTCAGTGAGTCCATATTATATTGTTCAATTGAGTGTTTCCAAACATTGAAGTTAATTTAAAATGGCAATGAGTAATATTTTACAAATGGTTTGTGATAATTGCAGATGCAAGGATATGAAACGTCCATAGCGAACACAAAGTGGGGTTCCATGAAAAGAGTGAGATAGCCAAGCTGAAACTCAACAAATTCTCAAACGCTTGAAACTACAGAGTAATAGATTTTTTGTACATTTAGATTCATATATATTTAATATTTGCACGTTATTTTTATAATCATACAATAGCGCACATTTCAATCTTTTTACTGCTTGACAATAAATTTTGTAATATGCAAATACCATAAATCACGTAAAATATATATTTTAGCACTGATGATTGTAGCACAATTTAACGACACTTGTGAGATTTTATAGAGTTGTTGAGATTATATAAACTTTTCCTTTACCGAAAAAAATGTGAATGAATGTACCACTAGAAAAAAATTATCAAGCAACTTCATGGTTATAAATCCAGTAATAAATACTTATAACAGACAGCACTTATCAATTTGTACACTCGGTTAGCTAGAATAACAAGCTTTTGACCCCTGAATTGTTCTCACGTGCAAAAATCAAAAATATTGTTGTTTGGCTGGACATGCAAAATTTGTTAGTTTAGAATTGAAAGACATACTTATCGCATGTGACACTTTGCGCAGCAGCAGTTTTTTTATTACATTGATGAGAGGACACCACGCACGGGATTATACGATGTATAAAAATTATTATGTCATGTGTCTCTCATGTCACGAACGTTGATTACACAAAAGCAAGATTTTCAACAAATAAACAAACCAGGAGAGGGAAAAAATAAGAAGTAATTACACCCTTGATGATTTCCAGATATTTGCAAAAATCCAACCTCATGTGACACCAATAATTGCCCTTGGTAGAAGTTGGCCTTCTTCAAATCATAAAGTTATTCTTCCTCTAAAACCTTTACAAGTCAAAACAAAAATTAAAATGCACATTTGCAACTGGACAACACACTTCCGTGCAGGGTATTCCGACCTGGGTTTTAATGGGTTGGGTTTTATTGGGTTTTAATGGGTTTTAATGGGTTGTAAATGAATAAAACCCACTGGGTTTTACCATGTTAAGTGGGTTTTATTTGGGTTTTAATGGGTTTTATTGGGTTTTAATTGAGTTTCACCTTAAAACTACATTCTAGAAGTTAAATACATCTCCTATACGTTAGAAGGCGTTATCTCAATTCATTCTAAAGTAGTCTATTTCATTACTATTCTAGTGTATGCAAATTCGGAACAAATCAACAATTGACTCCATCCTTTAGCATCACAGATTTCAAGTGTTATAAAACAAAAATAATTTCCGAATAGATACAAATTCCGAATTATTTTTGTTAAGTTATTACTTAAAACTAATAAAACCCAATAAAACCCATTTAAACCCAATAAAACCCAATAAAACCCATTAAAACCCAAATAAAACCCAATTAACATGGTAAAACCCATTAAAACCCATGGGTTTTATAATTTTTGATTAAAACCCTGGGTTTTTCCGAACCCTGCTTCCGTGTGCAACAAGCATTTCCTGGTCATTCGGCATCCCTATCAAACGTTTCAGATTAGATTTATACATTCATTTCACATTATGTAAATACAACAACAAACATCTTGCAACGCATAATTTTAGCGCATCGTCACTAAATACATCTGGGCTTCACAAATTTTCCACATATGATTAGATATGTAATAGATTTAAAATGCGCGTAGTTGGTGGCTTATCGTCCTAATCCTTTAATCGATATCATTTTAATCTGGATGAATCATAAGATATTATTTATGCTGGATGTACATCCGACATCCAGGACTGAGCACTATCTAGAAACCTTCATCGGCATTAATATGCTCTCTAAGTGCATATAGTTCTTACAATTTGTAATAAAAAGATATTATCGAGCGGTTGTTTTTTTGGTGCAAGAATGAATAATTTAGAGATGTTTATGAAGCAGTGCATCAATTTAGGTGAATGGAATCATTCCGTAAAAATCGTCTCTAATAGGAATTAAAAGAAATTGCTGATCAATACACAAGTTGACTGACTGGATATAAAAGTAATAACTTTATGATGAATAATGTTTATGACGATGCCATAGCCAGCCGCGTATATGTACTTTTTTGCTTACTAGATACAGATGTATTAATTCTATGAGTATTAAAGCAGATTTAATACCATAACTATAAAGCATAGTATGGATTGTTGGATCAAATATCAAATATGAGCTACATGCACGAGTATACAAATCAATCAGGGCTGAAATACATAAACTGGATGGATTATTATCCTTTGACAAGGCCGATGCTCGCAAACTCAAACTCAGGGTCAACGCTTACTAAGCGTTCAGATCATATAGCAGAACTGAACCAGAAACAGATACGGATATTAATGTTGAGTCAAGTTGGTGACAATTTTTTACACTTACATGTTTTCATCTATGTGCAGGAGCAACAATGCCTAATTTCTCCGTGATGTAGTATCATCTCAGCATCTTTCCCAACTCATGGTCATTGTCGAGTAGGTAATGCGTTGAGAAAACAAGATCATTTCCATATAAGTATGCGAAACGCCCATCAAAATAAAGTCATGTAATCCATACTGGAATTTGTAAACGTCTCTGAAAGATCAAGTTTCGTAATATGCGAGATGATGGATTGTGGATTGTGCTGATGATGTGCATATACGTACATAAATTTTGTTTGGTTCAAAAAGTCATATACTTACGGGTGAAGTGAATAAGAACTACATATTGATTCTATGACCTCAACAAACACTTATCATTCTGGAGAGAGAACAAGAACAAGACGAAATGAAACATTTTTACCGTGTGTGTAATATGTACATACTAGTGTAGAAGCCCGTCAATCGACGTGCAAGATAGGCCCGTCGATAAGCCCGTTACATTAGTGAAGTTAGCCTCTCCTGTTCTCTCTGCAGAGTGGAGCGAGAAAGGGAGAGGCTAACTTCTCAACTAAGCCACCGACCCAGCCAGCCAGCCAGCAGCGATACACTCGCCTGCTTTATATAGTTTAGATTTATATCACTGGAGATTGACGACGGCTATTTATGAGCGTGTAACTGCATGATGATCCCCTGCTAATATAGATCCTCCGGTGGTGATGCTGCTTTATTGGTTCTTATTACACAGAAAAATTAATCCTTCTTGAATCTGGACTGTTCGACGACATGACGAAGAAGTGAGGGCTGAATGTGTGTTAATCGGAAAACAACTTCTTTTGATGACATCCTCATGTACTTACTAATCTGCTTTTAAGAGAAGTCGGACACCAGCTCTCAGTCTCAGTCGTTCTGGTGAGAGTGACACGGCAAGGAAGATCAACAAAGTTACTGATTTGATAAGTTGTGCTCATTCACACAAGAATTCTCATCCTAGATTTCAACAGATTGACACACACACTAATAAAATGAGCACCAAAGGAAGGAACTCCTCCAACGGGTACCACGCACCCTGCACATTTCTCAGCGACTATATCATTCATGAGGGAAAGTGGCTCAGATTGTCAGAAATCAAGTACTTGGACCCCCACGGGAGAGAAAGGTAACCGTAAAAAATGCGCTAAAACTTCCACCCCACGTGCTCATCTTCTATAATTTCTACCACTTGTCCAGATGTTGGGAAACTGTGACCAAGTTGGCCAAACCGAAAGAAAATGACACAGACACCGTGTCCGCCATCGCCATTTACAGACGCCTCCTCCACTACGACGTGATTGTCATGGTTCGTCAATTCCGACCCCCACTCAATGCCTACACGGTAGAGTTTCCTGCAGGTAGGACTGGATATCACAGATTTAAACACCCTTTACTTACGCAAGACACACATTTTTATCTCGTCTGTTCAACTCACGAGGACAATGTCAAACATGTGTACATACACATGTATACAGACAATATTATCAATAATTTTTTGTGTTTTTTTGTAGGTTTGCTAGATTCAGGCGAGTCATGTGAACAGGCTGCAATCAGAAAGCTTCGTGAGGAAACTGGGTGGCACGGCGAGGTGACCCATGCCAGCGACCTACTCGCCGTCGATGCTGGGTGTTCTTCAGCAGTCATGAGATACGCCACGGTTAAGGTGATTCTTAAAATATCTCGCTTTTAACTAATCTGTAGTATTGCTACACATTGACATCCTCCACATATTCATAAACATTATTGATCTGCGTAGATATGTATCTGTGTAAGTAGAACCAGCCTTGAATGAGATTGACAAACTGCATCATTATGATGATTTCTGGATAAAATTGAATCCTTGGCCTTGCTTTCCTCGTAGAGTAGTAATGTGACATTAATCATTATTGCGTGACAAATTACTTGAAACAGCACTGTCTTGTCAGTCAGTATAACGCATCGGGAGCGAACCTCATGACAAATTTGATGTAGAGATTTAACAGAAGCGAGGATTATGTAAAATTTGCACGAGGATCCAACAGCATTCTAAAGCTTTAGCTCTATTCTGTGAGCATACCAATTAAAATTTATTTTTTAATCCCATTTGTCCTATCGCTTTCATATATCTATATTCCTATCTCTCTCTTAATGTTGTTATTGATTGGACGGACAACTTGTCTCTTTCTGCCTCACTTCGTCTTCCTCTGCTTCAAGTTGTCATTGCTTCATCATCATGTTCTCCTCTTGTGCTTGCTATGTACATAGTTTGGCAGACAGGCCCTCAATCTCAACTTTTAAAATAAAGTTATAAAATTGTCTTCCGTCCACGCACTCAATCATGAATGACAAAAAATGTACTTCGATTATGTCTGTACTGTATAAAAGAAACTGTGATACGGATACAGCGATATCGCCAGTTCAACTGGTACGATACGATTAATTCATGCTCACATTTTGTCCACAGATTAATGGAGATTCAACTGACAATTTGATGTGCAAACCGATTATCGGGATAGACAACGAATTTGTTGATGTGCTCATGATTCCAGTCACCGAACTCCATGAGCGATTAAGTGGTAAGTTACGTAACATATATGATCGAAGGGCTATTTAATTACATGCATGACACGACCTTCACTTTTTCTTGTGTCATAATCATAATGTTGATAAGCACATAATGCAGCTTATGTCTGCGATTGAAATATTTTTTCTAAGTGCTATACACACATATGTATTTATATCTGCTGTAGATCTTTTGAATGATGCAGTTAATTAGCGAATTTTGGCATATTTTCCGTTAATTTCTCAGCTCTGAGCCGGGAAGGGAACATTGTCGACTCGAGAGTGGAGGCATTTGCTATCGGATTGCAAATGGGGCTGAAGTTTGCTCAAGACGCTCGAAAAGACGCGGCCTCGTCGCAACAAGCTAGTTTGCCTCTGGACGGAAGTTGTGTTCGTACTGGTCTCGGAACTAAACAAACCACTTAGTCGTTTGCCACCTCACGTCAATCAAGAACACTCAAATGCCGGACGACGACTTCATAACAACGCTCATTCGACTACAATGATGGCGATAACTGAATTTTTTCAGCCGTATTTACATGTTTCCTCCAACCTTATATTACTTTGTTGTATTATTGCTACCAATAAATTAAACGTGTCAGGTTTTCATATTTTGTCCGGTTTTAGTGTATTTCATGATACTTGGGAAAACCCAGCTCGACTTTGTAAGAATTCATTCAGCCAACTTTCACCCCAAACTTGAGTCACCATGCTTTCTTTCCAACGACGCATGCAACTTCGACCAAGTATGGACTTTCCCATATAATTGCATTAATAAGCCCCAGCATCTGGCAAGACAGGATAATAACAAGCAACGGTTGACTCATAGTCACTTTTGTTCGTTGAGTAGTCAGGTTTTCCTCTTTGTCAATGATATGACCGTTTCAGCCCAAATTCGTTCCCAGCAGACTTCTTCTCATGCATGTTCTAATTTTTTATTCTAATTTTAAGGAGTCTCACGTTGAGATTCTCGACCCTTTATTTAGAACACACATGAATTTATCATACACATTTCATGTATTTCACCAACATTAGTTCTAAATTGCAATCTCATTTCATTATGCACTTCAACAAACAACTTTTAGAGCCATAATGATGATGATGAATTGATTTGACCAGGTTCATTGCACAGGTGTCCAAATACCAAAGTGCAAATAAAATAACAAGGGTTCGAGCTTTGCAAAAAACTGCTCTCTCATCACGAGCTTCGCCCATGAAACCAATATGCCATACCCAGGACGAGGGGTTGGTCGCCACATATTTTAACAACTTTCCTCCCTAATCTCTTCTGTAACATGATGACGATGAAAATGTTATTTTAGCAAAGATTTTGACAGTTTGTCGCATGTTTTTCATCTTTCCCCTGTGTCTCTTAATTACTGTTTTACCCAAACAAAATCATGAACATTTACAAATATTTGCATGCAAATTATTATTACAAATAGCATCTCAAATTCAAATCCTATCATTGAGAATGAAATAAACTCCTGATGCAAAGTTTACCCCTGTGGGTCAATCTGGCTGAAAAAAAAATGTATTTCATCTTCAGAATTTGTCATTATAAATTTTCCCGATGAGAACTTGAAACTTGAGAAGGAATGCTGCGGAGGAGTGCCGAGTGACGATGAAGAGTGTGTCCGATGTCCGTTCGTAAAGTGGATTATATTATAAAGTGGATTTTTATAGAGGGGAAAAAGTGGTTAGTTTCTTGGCGCGTGGGGTTGTATTCTTCGTCTTCTTGCATTTTATTGTCGGTCGGTCGGTCGGTGGTGGTCACATATCTCGCAGTCATGCATATAGCTGATTATTAGTTGAAATTCTCCATGGGTATCCAACCCTCTCGCCTACTTTTTTCGGTGGTGGTGGTGCTGCTGCTGGTGAATCTCTCTCTTCTTCTATCCGATCAGATCATCGCAGGCAACTGAAAGGCAGGCCATTCTTCCGTCCATTCCATTTGCCCACAGGGAAAGAAAGACAGACACCTGACCTGAGTCCTGAGTCAGAAAAAAAAATCAGAAATCTTCCATTATTCTTTCTGGAACATATTCGGCGAGATTTTGGTTTCCTCTCCCTGTGCCATTTGTCCACTCTTTTTAGGCTGGAGGGTAGTTTTGTCAGATTACTGCGCTTATTCAGTCAGTCGGTTTCGATCAGTTGGGCTCTCTGTTTTCAGCTCTTTTTCTCCATTCTCGTCGTCTCCTTCCTGCAGAGGAAACAACAGGTGAGTTTTTTCGTAATTTTTGGAATTTTTTGTAATTTGTTTATTTTCATTGCTCGCCGGTTTCGAACTGTCAAAATATAGGGTTAGTATGGCTATAAATAGTTAGTGAGGTACAGTGTATAGTTAAAAGGTCAACATGGAAAAAGAAAAATTTTTAGGTCTGGTTGAATGTCTGGTATTTTTGTTTGTTAACGTTCTAGTGAGAAAGATTTAATTGAGAGAGAAATTGCGTTTTTTCGTACTTGGATAAATTGGACTTGATTAAATTTATGAGTTTGTGGTAATTATTAATTACTACGTTAGAGCCAATTGATGAACTGGAAAAGTCCGAATCTGCTCATGCGAATTGAGAATATTCTACCAGATCATGACTTTTTTTTGTATTCTGATGGCCACTTCCAATTATTGTCAGTTTGTCCGATTTAAAACCAAGAGTTTGTCATTGAAATTTACTTTAGACTCTCTCTTGTGTTGGTGTAAGTTACATAATGTGATGTTCATGTATCTTTATGTGTTTGCATTTATCTTCCATCATGTGCTTGGAAGCATGCTTCAGTTTGGAGCATATTGCATTAGTATTATGTTTATTATTAGACCCTGGTAGTACTTTTACTTTGGTTGATGGAATTTGTATATAATTAATCACATTCGTCTCATAGTACTTAATTCAAACATAAACTAACAAACACGCCGGTACAGACAGACCCAGCACATAGATAATTACGACTTACGACAAGGACGCAGTACCGAGTTCTAATTTGCATCACGTGCACCTCGTCTTTGTAAGAATAATTTAAAAATTCATGTACCTTGATCCGGCTACTGCGACTTCCAAAATGACAATAACAATCTTTGGCAACCGACGGTTGCCAACCGTACTTGTTCAAATTCCAAAATAATATTAAATATTATATTCTTCCATTTTACAGGAGATAGCCATTGGCAGCTTTGTCTACATATAATCGAGCTTTTATATAAAATACAACCGTACAATGAATAACGGCCAAGCAACTGGGAAAGGGCTTAGTCCCGATGAGCAACGAGAGCTGCGAGAAGCCTTCGCTAATGTGAGTGGTTCTTATCTTTATTCGTAACTATTCTACTGTGTGTGAAAGTTGTTTGTTATTAATCAAATAATTATAATCATAGATTGATACAAGCAAGCGTGGATTTTTGGATTGCGGTGAACTGAAAGACGCTCTGGATCTAGTTGGATGCAAGTTACCACAGTGGCAACTTCGCCGCGTTCTTGAAGATGTGGATACTGGAAAGACGACCCAGTTTAACAAATTGTCATTTAATGATTTCGAAAAGGTGAAGAACTTAATTGCATAATATTATAGTCATTGAGCAGATATGATATAATATTCTCTACTATTTAGGTTTACCTCAACCTGAAAAAGCGAGATGTAGCTACAACTTTTAAACAAGCAGTATCGCGAAAAGAAAATCTTCAAACCATTGGTGGCATGTCCGACGCTTCCAGTGAAGGTACAACCCATTCAGTTAGGATCGAGGAACAAATGGCGTTTTCTCACTGGATAAATGAACACTTGGCGTATGATGCCGACTTAAAACATCTGCTCCCTCTTGACTTTGAAGGGAAAAATTTGTATGATAAAGTAAAGGACGGAATTCTGTTATGGTAAGAAAATTGTCCAAAATCTTCATAATTCTGAATTATTTGTTGTCTAATATTAAAATTACCCTTATTATTGTTTAGCAAAATCATCAACCATTCATGTCCCGATACAATTGATGAAAGAGCCATCAACAAGAAAAATCTAACTCTATACACAAGGCTGGAAAATTTGACATTAGCCCTGAACTCTGCGCGTTCCATTGGCTGTAATATCGTCAACATTGACGCTAACGACTTGCTCGTAGGCAAGCCCCATTTGGTTCTTGGATTGTTGTGGCAGATAATTCGAGTAATTAATCATAATACTTGATAGAGGTCTTTCTGACTATTGCCAATTTGCACTGATAATTTTTCTTTTGTTTCTCCAGATCTTTTTGTTTCGCCAAATTACCCTCGAGCATTGTCCTGGTCTTGCAAATTTATTGATGGACGGCGAAAAGATTGAGGAATTAATGCGATTACAACCAGAAGCCATTCTTCTGAGATGGGTTAATTATCACATGGAACGTGCAGGTGTTACGAAACGGTGTAACAACTTCAGCGGGGACATTCAGGACTCGGAAGTATACATTCATCTACTTAACCAAATTGCACCTAAAGATATTGGAGTATCGACTGTTGCGCTTATGGTACCATCTCAGATTCTCATAGGTACATTACGTAGTATTTTTTTGTAATTTTTCTATCTAAATTATAGGAGCACGATTTGATGAAACGAGCTGAATTAATGCTCTCTGAGGCAGAGAAGTTGAGCTGCAGATCTTTCGTTACTGCCTCGGATATCGTAAAGGGTGTTAGTAAACTGAATTTGGCGTTTGTGGCTAACCTCTTTAACAATCATCCCCAGTTGGATAAGCCGGAAGGTGTGGACTTGGATCAATTTCTGGAAAATATAGAAGAAACCAGAGAGGAAAAAAGTAATTAATTATGGAATACATGATAATTAAGCAATTAGGTGGTTAACAGTCTTGGAAACTAAATGATAACTGTTATTTATTAGCTTACCGTAATTGGATGAATAGTCTTGGTGTTTCACCCCATGTCAATTGGCTGTATTCTGATCTGGCTGACGGCCTGGTCATTTTTCAATTGTATGATGTCATTAAACCTGGGATTGTGGATTGGAAAAAAGTTCACAAGTAAACGTCTCAAACGTCTATTAACCACGTATACGCCTTTTTTCATTGCACATGGTATTTACAATTTAAAATTATATGTTACAGGAAGTTTTCGAAACTCCGCAAGTTCATGGAAAAGTTGGAGAATTGTAATTACGCCGTTGAACTGGGAAAACAATTAAAGTTTTCCTTAGTGGGTATTGCAGGACAGGATATTTCGGATTGTAATCCTACCTTAACCCTGGGTAAGAGTTTAACCATCTGTGTTACATGGTGCAATATAATATTTTGGAAATCTAACTAAAAATATATTTCGCTTAATTAGCCTTGATTTGGCAGTTGATGAGAGCATATACTCTTTCTGTGTTGAGCCAACTTGCCAGTAGTGGCGATCCAATAGTTGAAAGTGCCATAATTGATTGGGCTAATGCAAAATTGGAGTCTGCTGGTAAGACGTCCAGAATCAAAAACTTCCAAGATTCTTCAATCCGTCAAAGCATCGTAATTCTCGATTTGATCGACGCAATTAAACCCGGTATCATCAATTACGAGTTAGTGAGCACGGAAGGAACAGAGGAGGTAACATTTAATTTGACTAGATTCAGTAATTTGAGCTATAAATTTCATGTTTATAAATTAAAATCCCACATTTCTGTAACAGGATAATATGGCAAATGCAAAGTATGCTGTGTCGATGGCCAGAAAAGTCGGTGCTCGGGTTTACGCTCTTCCAGAAGACATCGCCGAACTAAAGAGCAAAATGGTGATGACCCTTTTCGCCTGCCTCATGGCCTGCGAAACAAACATCCAACCATTTTAAACAATTTTATTTAGTTAGCTGTAGTATCGTTTCTCACACCTTCTTTTAAAATGTATAACTTTTTCAAGCTCAGTTTGACACCGTGCATTATCAAACTCTGCTCACAAATATAACACAGTACTAAAAAAACAATTATCATTTTATTAATCAACATTCCAAAAACATAATAGTGTATCTATTTTCTGGATCCAAATGTAAATTTTACGGTGTTATTAGGGAATTACGTATATATATTTTCTTAAAAAAATTGTTCGTAACTTGTAAATAAAGCGTGGCTCACAATGTTCTAACTCAATAATAAAGCCCATTTTGTAGAATAACTAAAATTTGCAACTTGACTTTCTATATTTCTTCCAGTTCTCAATCACCATTATGAATTGCATTTTCCCTTACATCATATTGCACGTAGAAGCATTTATCAGGATAATTTCCCCATAGTCAAGAGTTCCAAAAACTCGGCTAAAATTGTGTTAGTTACGCAAGCTCAAATTTAAACCGTCGGAGGAGTTTTCCAGAACCTAAACTTATTCATGAGGAATCCTCCATTGTGTGTCTCCACTGACGCAAATTTCGAGGAAGAAACCGATGATAATTTGTTTTAATTTTGCGAATCATCGTGGGCATGTAAATACTCGTAACGTGTGACGTGTGACGGTCAAGTGGGTGAGACAATAGCCTCTTCCAAACGAATGACGGATTACTCTGGGCCGTTTATTTCGCTCAAATTCTGCACAATCTTTAATTCGTTGTGACCATTGTGTGTTGCGTGGGGTGTTTGCATTAATTTGCATGCGTCTCAACGTATCCTCATCTCACTCTCTCTCTCTCGCTTTTGGAGATTGACTGTGGAGAAAATTGGTCCTCGAGACCAAGACTCCAAGTTTGAAGTATGTGGAGGAGTGAAGGAGAGAAAGCACTTTTCTTGTTGTTGACTCTCCTCGAGCTCCTCTTTAACACACGCTCATCTCTCGAGACTGGATATAAATATATTTTTAGACTACCAACCTACCAACTATTAATTCCTTTCTAAATGCCACATACTTACAAGAAAGGCAAAAGCATTTCAAATCAACATCACAAAAGTGAAAGTGCAGCAGCAGCGCACTTTTGATAGATTTTTAACAGTTTGAGTAGATAATCAAGGGCGCAAGGGGGAATGCAAGGACGGACAAGTTTGTCCCGATAAAAAAAATGTAAAGTTAACCATGTCGTGGGTCCCAAAGAGAATTTATTATTGTCTGTGGCGATAGGTGGATGGGGTGTGTCGTGCATCCTGTCCCGTACATAACACTAGACGACGATGATGAGGAGGCTTAACGTCACGTTGGAAAAATATTCGTCTTCACCACACGCACACAGTCCGAGAGAATTGGAGGATGGATGGAGAAAGCAGTCGTGGTCGTGATGGCAAGAATGCAGGATCCTTTGAGATTTCCAACTCTGGGGACAGCTTCGCTTTCCGTTGGTGAAAAGAACCAGCGAGAAGAATCCTGGTTTATATCTGTCCATCTTCCACCACTATTGCGCCATTATATTCGACATGATCTCTAATTACTTGTGATGATGTTGGTCGGTTTGGTAGTGGTACCAAGTTATCGCTCTATATAATTATTGCTTCTCCCCTTTACAAATACGTATATATCCAGGACTGCGAAGTCTGTCTGGATTTCTATCCATATCTTTATGAGGGTAGAATGATGGCTTGTTTTTGACATTTCTCAACAAAACAATGGTTTGAATTTTTTGAAAACCTTCAATTCAAACGTCATCCGATCAGTGGACTTGGAGTCTGGAACAAAATAAAATGAAGGAAAACATTCCCAAGATGGTTAATTGTTACGTTGAGAGATGATCCCAAAGTGAAAACAGGTCTTTTATTTTGTTCTCTTCATGACTTTGCATGTCGCAGTCAGCCTTCCGTGAGTGAGCTTTCTCTTACGAAAAGAAGTCTAATTGGGATGAGGTTTCCGGTCCCAGTATTTTTTCACCCAGTCATTTACAGTCAGTTGGAAAAAAATAACTTCAAAAAGAAGAAGAAAAACATGTATGTGTTTTCCTTTGATTGTTGAAAGGCAAATTGCCAACTGAACATGAAAAACATTGGTTTGGTTTTCTTTAGCCTTGAACTATTTTTGTGTCATATATCGTTCCGAAGTAGCTCGTTGTGCTCCTCATATGAAAAAATGGACAGCTAAGTAATAAGTACCAACATCCTCTCTATGTACTTAGGTTTTTACATTATCATTAAATATTATTAATTTCAACAAGATTAGGGAGTAAAGTACAGATTGTAGGCTCAAGCACACCGAGAGAAAAGTGGCAGGTGAGGCTTCATTTGTTATGCGGATCATGAAATTACTTAAGGGAGACAGTTTGAATTTGGAGATCAAAAAACAATTTATAACGACTTTCTTCCAAATACGGATTTATACATTTGTATAAATCCACTCGATGTAGGAAACTGGGAGAGAGTCCACCAGCTAGAGACGTAATTTTTACATCCAACTTCAACTTGTACAAATGTCTGCATCGTTTTATCTGATAACTAAATACTTGTTCTACGAACAAGCAAGGAGAAAGTGGTTCGTTCATCATGAGAAACTAGAACTTTTTTGTTTGAGCCGAGGTTTACATTTCTTAGTGAAAGAGGAGACGAAAGTATCAAGATTGGAAATTACTTCTTCTCCTCTCTCACAAAGAAGGAGGACAGGACTTATTAGTTCCATCCCGTTTTACACCTCAATGGATTAAATAATTGATCGGGATTTCTCTTGGGAAGACGATTCCACATTTTATTGCTCTTCTGTCATGATACACACGAAGCTGCTCTGTAAGTAGAGGAGGACCATGCAGTAGATACAGTACATTCATGTCATATTGCAAGTTAGCTGTTGTGACACTGGCTTTTAATACAAGTAACCAAAGTCCACCAGATATCGTATGTCCTGCAAAAATTTCGCATCAATGTTCATCTCCAGAGTCATCTTCTTTTGATGTATCATCGTCATTTAGACTCATGAATGGCAAAATTACTCGGTATTCAAGGGGTACGAACTGCGTAGAAAAAAATTATGGCGAAAGATTTGCAAATTTTAAACCTCAATCCCCTCTCCACAAAGAGACAGAGTTTCACGCAAACAAGTACACAACATTTGTACACGTTTCTCGTCCTTCTTTTTTCCAAGAAGGATGAGCCATTAATCTTTCTCCACAGATTCGCTGAGCCTGGGGATAGTTTCTGAAACGGGATTCATGCCCTCGCTCGATCTTTGTGATATCGAATACTTACTTTACTTACCTACAAACCAGAGTTCCAGTATCATCCTGTCTCAAATTGTGCTCATTGCTGCAGAGACTGAGGAGAGAGAACAATGCCACCACTATCATCAGTCAGATAGCACATTTTCAGCCAGACTAATAACTAACCGAAAGGTCACAGCGTATAACAACAGCAGCAACAACAACGCACCAATCACTGCGTTCCGTGAATTACGGGCTGCTTGTTCTTACGTGATTGATAAATTGGGCACAGTTAATAGTGTACCTGCTGAATTATGTAATTGTTATGTATTATATTGTCATGGTATTGTTTTCCTTACTTATTATCTCACATCCTCAAGTTGTGTACTTGGTGAGAAGAGAGCTGCAATTTCTCGGTTCAACTTCCTTCATAACTTTCCCTTCCTTTGCTAGTACTCAAAAAGTGTAACAGCAGAAATCAAAAGTTCAGATTGATTGACCATGAGCATTTTTTGACAGCTAAATGTTTGCCCTACTTCTAAATTACGAATACTAATCCGTTGGACTGACAGCTGCAGGTTGTAGACAGATAACCAAACAAGTAAACTGGCGAAATGTTGTTAATGGAGGACAAAACATTTTACTCGTTTGCTTCAAGAAAGGCTTAAATTGTCTTCCATTTCCGTATTTAAGACTCAAAAAGTCTACAAGCACGATTAAATTTTCTATGAAAGAGCAAAAGGAAATAAAAAAAGAGTAGTCTCGCATTCTTTGTTGCTAAACACGATATCACCGTTTACATACATTTTTGTTATTTATGAGTATGTGCATGTAAACTTTCGACTTTTTAATCCTGAAAATAGAATTGCAGACAAGAAGCAAAAATGCACCTCTTCCAATCGTTATAAACCCAAAACAAAGTAATTGCGTTGTTCAATAAAACTTTGCAGTGAAATAAATTGCTTCCAGCCGAAATGTTATTTGTCATAATCTGAAAGTCAGGGGAGAGAAAGCAGCGGCATGGACGGACGCTAATAGGGTGCGAGTCGGACAAATCTGCAAAATATCTCACTCTCTCCAGAGGAGAGAAATGCCGTCTTAAAAGTTGAGGCTAAAACTTTAGCACCACAATTCTGATCCATATTCGTCTCTGAAATGATGAGGTGGACTCCAAAATTTATATAAATTGAATCAATGTTTCACTCTGACAAAGCTCAACGCAACATTTGCATGTTGAATTTCAGCCACTACGTATTTACGTTTTTCCAAGTTTCATTCCTATATACCACCAAAATTTTTATTGCACATTTACACCCATCATAAAACGTAAAAACACGTTTTTTAAATTTCTTACAAAAATACAAATTTACAATTTTTTGAAATTTACATTTTAAAATTTACTCTTGATTCTACTAACTAGAATTCCTATTCACACAACAAACCAAGAAAAAGTCAAGTTATTAGTTTATATCTGCAGGCAAAGAGTCCGTCCGTCTCACGAGCCTCGAGCGTTTATAACCTTTTTGACAAATTTATACGTGCTACTAAAATCTCAAAATAAGCAAAAGGAAAATCCGCTCGCATTATTCAAGCCAAAAATTGTAAACCTGTCTTTTTAAGGTTTTCGTGGTAATGTGCAGAGTCAGTCTTTACTGTTTAACTTATGTTTTAAGTACACACCAACCACGAATTCCTCCCACGACGCTGTTCTCATCGTGTTGTTTATCGATTCAACATCTGATACCTCAAAAAAGAGTCAATGGGTTCCCAATACTTTGGGTGTCGTCGTGGTATCGTTGAGAGAAAATTGGATATGTCGTTAAAGCCTGTACCAGTACGAAGACGTTCCATTGCGACTTACGATTCCAGCCTATATATGGTTGCAAGTGTGGTGTAAAACGATCTGCTCGTATTGCAGATAAGAGGCGGCGCAAGGATGTAAATAGGAATAACAAGATCGGATCAACAAACATACTGAGGAAACCGTAAAATGATTCAAAGTTTTGATTCAAGTGCTTCTTCTTCCAAGTGTTCTTCCCCTGCTTAAGTGGACTTCTTGTTCAGAACGGTGGTGTGAGACGGGAGAGAAGAACAAGAACCAAAATCCTCATTTTCACGCAGCCTTTCTCCAACTTTATATCTTTCGCTGCATTGCACATCCACGTGAGATCAGAATAGTGTGTGATTTTAACCATAACTGTGAACTTACATGCTTCCACTCAAGGATTTTTTTTTCCTTTTCCGTCATTTTCCGGCATCATTTTTCGTCAGTATCCTCACTTGAAGTGATCGAAATAGGTACATATGTCTAAATTTCAGCATCCTTGAACTCACAGATATGCATACTAAAGTTTATCAGAAAAAAACATGTAATTGAGACATTTTTCTGTGTGTTGGGAATAAAAGTTGATTTAAATGTCGATATTTAGCAAAAAGTCTGAGTTGTAAAAAATCGCTTAATAGATAAGAATAATTTTCCCGGCTGGCTTTACGTATGCAGTTTGTTTCATGTTGCATGCAGTTGGTCTTGACGAAAATTGACGAACTGCTTGAAATTTAGTCTAAGAATGTCTCGTATATGTCTTTTAAGTACCCATTCATTCCACCTGTTCAAGGCAAAACCGGTGCAATTGGGATAAAGGAAAACTTTCCAATTAATTCTTCCCATATAACTCACACTTTTTAGTTGAAGGTCGAGGAAAGTTGCAAAATATTGTAGCGAAATGACGGAGGCGGAAAAGACAATGATATTTGATTGGATGTTTCATCTCTCTTCCAATAATTGCTACCCACCTTGAAGCTTACAAGTACGGCAACATTTGCAACAAAACTAATGACTAAAGTCTACTGAATGAAAGTCTGGACCTGGAAAGAATTTCAATCGACTACACGACTCAATCTCATAATTGGACTATTTGCTTGAAGAAGCTTTTTCCATCATCTCCACGAATGGAGAAAGGCCAAAATTATCCATCCAACCGTTTGTGGTCGGTCGGAAGAATGACGTCGCTTGGATCAATTCTTCTTCATTTTCATTTTCCAATAATATTATCGTACTTATGTATTTTCTCCCCTGGAATTACAGGTCAACACGCCGGGTGCCTGAATTTTGAAGGTTTCTGAGATGAGCATCATTTCTTAAATTTTTGCAAGAAATTGTACTTGGTACTCGTTAAAATCCGGTGTTTCATATTATTATATAATTACAGCCTTGTTCTCTCGTCGACCAGAATAAACAATAACACATGCCACTTATTTATACGGTGACTTTGACATTGCAGAGCAACTAATCACATTCAACATTCAAAGTCATTGCCATTTGAGATAATAAATATACGTATAAAATCATGATCTGTGTAAAACGGGCCGCGAAATAATATGTAATCCCACTAAAACCTGTTATCAGTTCAAAACTGTTAACGTTTTCATAGTCATTAAATACAAGGAATGATGTCGTTATACAAAATTTGAGCATGTAAAGCCACGTCACGAGAAGGATGAGACTGTATTTCGGTTTTCCACACGTGGATCATCTCCCAGTCTGCGTGAGGAAACTTTCACTTGGCCGAATTATACAATTAACGAGGCTTGGTGATAAAATTAGCACCTAAGAAGATCACCCAACTGACACTATTTTTCCACCCACTGGCAGAATTCTGCCGGTATTAGTTGAGTTAGTTTGATGTCACTTAAAACTATTTGATTGCCTTAGGCATGTCACCCACGAACGTCTACCTCTCCGTTATACAAGAACTATAAATAAATGAGAATTATGGAAGTTAACATGTTAACCCAACGTTCCAACCAATCCACTCGATACGATGGAATCAAGAGTTACGTAGTCTCAAGGTAAATATGACATTGCTCCAATTCACTTTTCAATATCTTCGTTATTTGGAGTCAGCCGAATGGAAAGACAAATACTGTTTAATGAATTGCCTGTTGCAAGTCGGTCGGGAATGACAACGTGTTGGGATGGATCTTTGTTTAAAATATAATTTCCAGTGCATAGAGGTCAAATCAACACGGATTCGAAGAAGCGAACTAATGAGATGACATAATTATTCGGTTTAAGTGATTGGATCACCTGTTATGTAGTGGTATTTGCACACGTTTGAAAATTGGGTATGTAACATGCACCATACTTTTTTGCACGTGTCTTGTAAGAAGCTTTAAAACGATTAGCGTCTTCCTATGCGTTCACTCAAAATTTTTACACGATACGAGACACCTAAGTTTTTGCTAGTTTGGGAAACTTGAGAAATTATCTTCTCACTCTACTCATTCCGCTTCTCATTTCTTTCCTACGCTCGGTGTAAATGTGCATGGGCAGTAGAATAAGCAGTACTCGATCGCATATCGGTATGTATTGCATTACTGTCTGCCAGCCAGCTTTCTCGAGAAGGAGAAGAAGGGAAAGTTCCGGTAGTCAGTCAGCCAGAGTCGCCAAAAACTAAGTATATCCATCGCCACGACCCAATCCAGTCGTCAGATGAGGCTGTGACTTGCAGAGGAAGCAACGTCGCGTGTCATGAGAAAGGACGACTCTTCTCATCATCCCCCATCTCGTCTCATTCTGACTCTTCTCGATAAGCCCAGCAACACAGACACACCACTCCACTCGGCACTCGCAACAAGTCAGAACACAGCTCACTCTCTCTGAAAATGTTGACCGACATCTAAAAAGAGCAAGAACTTGATTGGGAAACTTTTTGAGACGATATCCAGTCCACCCTGTCACCATCATCGACCTCCTGGGGTCACCTGTGACTCTGACTCGGACCGACTTATTTTACCACTTTTGACTCTGTAATTATTTTACATTGACGTTCTTCACCCGCATTCGAATTGAATTGACTGACCGAGTTTCTCAGAACGACCTGGTGACACTGGACAGCTCGCACGGTAAGTGATTATCTGTACATGTTTGTTTGAGCATTGTTTTATTGTATTGCATGGAGGCAGAGCATATACATATATGCACATACATTTGCATAATCACCCACACTTACTAATCAACATCCTTCACATTGGACTAATTTGTTTACTATTTATTACTACGTTGAGACACCTTATTTGTTAAAATGGTGTTTCCGTCTCATGAAAAAGTAACGTAATGCTTAAGCACTACATCTCGTCATAAATCATGAAAACACATCCCGCACATTGTTCGAGATCATCAATGAGACCAAAAACTCCTCCGGTTCTGTCGCATAATGAAGATCAGCTAGTTTTACACATGTCCTTTATGCGAAAGTGTGAATTTATTTAGCCATCCATACACCAGTCTTAAAACCAATGGGTATGGCTGGCTGGCACTTCTAAATGAACCTGCAAGTTCGCTCCCATGCATACCTCGTGCTGCCATCGAGGACATTAATGTTTGCACAAACAATTATTGACGAAGGGAGAATCATTACGTTTCTCTTTGCTCAAACAAATTTGGTTCCATTCATTTAAATTAATTCTTCGTTAGGTGTTCCTCTTCCTCCCACGGAAGTTTATTTGAAGACGTTTACGCGTCAAATTCCTACTCCTGCTGTATAATTGAGATCTTCAAGTACATACGTATTTTCAAATTTCCACTCTCTCCCAACTCCAGTTATTCATTTGATAGGGTTGAGTCACCCAAGACAATCACGTAAGTAATTGCAACAACTCGACATAACTTTCTTGCCTACCAAGGGTGCATTAATATATTCAAATTGGACAATTTGAGCCAGAGGGCTCGCACAATTGTTGATCCCGGGTTGACTCATTTTGCAGAAAACTGCGGAAGTGCGGAATGAATTGTTGAGTGAGTAGGTTAAATTATTGTATTTCGACAGTGCATATGTGGCATCAATTATTTTGATGATGTGATCCTCAAAGGAACTCTTATTAGATTATTTTATACCGTCGTGAGTGAAGTGGGTGAGGAGGTAGCTCAAAGAAGGCTGCTGCCATTCACAAAATCATTTTCTTACGTATAATAAAATGATCCTTCCAGATCCGGTCCAGGTAAGAGCATCCACTTTCATTCATGCATTCTTCTCGCCAAAGTTTGAAAGTTGAATTCTTAGCTTATTCAATGTCGGGATTGTTAAGAGGATTACGTATGTGCGGCGTTTGTATGTTTGTAATGGTTACGTATAACATGAGTTACATATGTATGTAGAGAAATGGTTTGCGGCAAACGAAGGAGGCACGTTGACACGTAAGACGTACACATGCATAACTAACGAAGTTCGTCTGTGTGCTCTTTTGTGAATGGAATATCTTGCAGAGTATTTTATTTCTGTTTACCCGATCTCATGATGATGACCATTTTCTTCCATTATCAGCTTGAGGCAGGCCGAAATATGCCGCAAGGGCAATGCAAATCCAGTTAGGACTCTTGTCCAAAACAAATTTCGAACCTAACCTGATTAGTGGATGCATGTGTCTCCGCCTACTTCTGTTTTCCGCACTTTTGACGCGTTTTATCTCAAAAAGTTTTATCTTTATTTGTTTTTGCATGTATGACAAGGTCACAATAAAGAAATATGTCGTCATCGGGCATAAATAATCCTGAAAAAAAATACGGGCGTCGCATTATGTAAAAATCAAAATAGAAGAAACCAGTACTCTCGACATGACAGAGTATTAAACCAATTTAAAGGGAAGCGTGGAATCTAAAGTGTTTCGAGTACACTTGACTCGACATGTAATTGAATTGACATGAACTTTCAAGTTCGACAATCACTGAAATTCTGATTTTTCGTCATTTGAGTGTGGCGTAAGTTTATTTTGCATATGGTTTTATATTATAATTGCGTAAACAGTAATACGCCTGCGATGCCAGTGAACTTTGTCAAGTGTTGTTAATTTGATCAGCGGTTGCAAGTCGTGAAATTATATACCACGCAATATTTTTCCCCAATGTCATTATGAGCGTTTGTATGGCTGTCTACAATTTGTAAAGATTAAATAATATCTCGAGTAGTGAAAGTACGCATTACGGAATCTGTTTACCACCGAATTTAAAAAATAGCCTGCTAAAGAATTTACACAGGACGGGACCGGAAATTGTTCATACATTGTTAATTCTCACCACTTTGTTATTCTAGCTGGTTTAGTCTGCTCAATTGCATCGGATTTACTCTGTAATTATCATACGTATGCCTGACATGACACTACATTCCGCTCTCTGTTAAATGCATTAAGTCGTAAAGTTCTAAGCCATGCACGGTGGACCATGATTTTGAAACCACGCCACCCATTGACTTTTCAACAACCAGACTTTTTTGACAAAAGGCAGATCAACATCCTCATTCATACGCTACACCTGGCTCGGAAGAATAAATTGAAAAAAAACGATTTTTTAGTGTGAGTGTATCCGTCCGATAACCTAAAGAAGCCGGGTAATGATGGTGTCATTTTGTAGATCTTACATTCCCTCTTTCCTATTGATCTTGCTGACAAAGCCAATAAAAATGTTAAAAATGGTCCCTGTGTGGATTTGATTATCATCTATTCGTATGCATGGAGAAAGTCAATACAACTCTGCATTTTCCAACTCTGATCTTGAATACATCACTCGAGTCACTTTTTTTCAAGGGAAAGTTGTTCTCGAAGGAACCTTACTTAATACAACGACAATGCAATACCTTATTCGGAATGCAATTATAATTTTTCAAAGCAATAATTCCGAGAGACTGCTTGCAGTGGCTGCACGTAGTGTCACATAGGCGTCTGGCTGGTTTAAGAAAATCAATAAATACGGGAACGATACTGTCATCATCATAAAATAAGCCAGGACAAAATGTTGATGCGGATTTAAATTGACACAGAGCATCGTCCGGCCGAACATGGTCGTCAATTATCCCAGTGTGTACGGAGATTACATGGTGGACAGATGCTTATGGGGGCCGTATTATTATGCTACCAGCAGGACCCGCTCTGGTATAATCTCTGTGCATGCGACGTATTAGGCTACATTAACTCAACAGTGCATTATTTCTGGTGTTGTGAGTAAGGCAATTTCATCCTTGAGGTTTTGGAACTGCTGCGTTGGACTCCCAGTGATCCTCCGCGGGCTTAGCTTTCATATCAGGACTTCCTCCTCGTGCCTTCGACGAGAGAGAAGACCGTGTCAATACATTTCTATATTTTCTTCTCCCCCGGCTGAGTGAAAGTGTCCCGAAAAGAACTAATTGTGTATAATAGAAATATGTATTCAGCCACAAACGCTGCTTCCGTAGGGCTACAACTGCGATGATGGTGTTGAGGGAGGGATGGATGTTAGTTTGATTATATCCACGCAAGCATGAAATAAATTCCTCTTTATTTCATTATTTCAAACCCAACGAGGTTGACGAACGACGAGTGAAATTATTTTGGTCACATTGCACACGTGGAGGGAGCGAATTTAATTTGAAAAACAAGCATTTTTGTAATCCCCTCTCAAATAACATGAATTAAAAATTTTGAAGTACTTTGTTTTGTACGTAACGATAGTTACGCGCTACTAGAGGATTCAATGCCCCCAAAAATTGACGTACGTACGTACGTAAAACTATAATTGGAAAGGGATTTAAACTACTTGCACTTTTTGCAAAACAGGAAAAAAATCACTTCTCTCAAGTCTGTATCTGTTACATATTTGAAAAAATCGCACGTGTCAAATTCCCATCCACATTAACGGAAACATTTGTATGAATAAGCATAAATCAAACATGGGGTTTAAAGAACAATGAAGTTTATCTAGGCAAATTTGAAAGGTTGTCAAATAATCCAGCCAATAATAGCGAGGCACATTATTCACTTGGCTGAAGGGAGAAAGTATGCACGTAGAAGCACACTCTGCTTCGATTTTTGCCTTCGTGTACATTGTAGCAGTTGAGATTTTTTGACCACGGATTTCCCATTTCTTGTGAAGCCATGAAAAATGTGTGGGTTGGATCCAATAAGTCACACACAGTTCTGCTGTAAAGTGTATTCTGCTCCCCACCTGCAAAGAAAAGAGGATATGATGAGACAGGAGATGAAAGCGATCATTGTGAGCGCAAGGAGTCGTACACCATTCAATGAATCCATCCATACAGATCACAACCACATTCTCTCTGTACCTGGGTTTCCAGCGTTTTTGTAACAGCAATACCGATCTAGCCGGTAAATAAGGGATAACTGCAGAGAAGAAAGAAGCCAGCTCATGCCAAATGAACCATGTATTCCTCCTCATATCCTGTCTTTAACCGGGTAAAAGAAAATAATCTTGATCATTTCGTTCCATTCAGCACGAAAGAAGAGGAGCGAGGGCATGGTGAAGGTGCATCGTCTCGTTCCATCCATATCTCGTTGTCCTGCACTTTTATTACATCTTCATTGTGAGGTTCGTATTCGTTGGTATTTTCATGAAAATGAGACTTTCTCATGAAAATGTTTTGAAATGTTGAGATCATTAAACATTCCTCGGAAAGATTATCTGTCTAGTTAGCTCATTCAGACCGAGTGGGTAAAGAAAATCTAAAAATGTTTCAAAATTCGGGGTAAACAAGTTGTAATCATAAATTGTAATGGGAAAAGTGTACAGAAAAAAATCCGACAGCTGAATCAACCAATTTTCTTCTTCGTCTCGAGTTTATTAAGACAGAGAGAGAGAGAACAAAAATCGGAGTTACATTGAATGCCATGAAAGGCACCCGGTGTTGATGATGGTGGTGACAAAATCTCGGAAAGTTTTTTGTTTTATCATGAAGAGTAACAATGCGACCAGAATAATAGATTTTCTCCTCCCAGGTACTTGGTGGAAGTGGTGGCGGTGGTGGTGGCGATACAATTATTTGGATGAGCAGGACCTGGTGTGAGGTATTTATGTGTTGGATGTGTGTATGTGTAAGTAAGTAGAAGAGGCCATTCTTTCCATACGAGCTGCTGCTACTGCT